GGTCATTAAAATTCTTCCTGAGATACGCATCTGGCTATTTAAGGGCCTGTTTATCTAAAGCACGGAGTGCTTCATCCTGTTTCCATCCTGAATTCCTCTCAGGTTGGTGGGCAACTGAATTGGGTTCCGACTTAACCCTTGTAGAACTGGGTGGTGAGTGTTGGCGAGGGGGAAATTTCCCAGTCTACCTGTCTTGAGTTCTTATATCTGGACCAATAATAAAATTGACACAAGACATTAACAGGAGAAAGAGAAACAAATTTTAATTCATGCACATGGAGATCCCATAGAAATGGTACCCAAGAAGTGGCCAAAGCAGGCAGCTTTTATACTTTTTTAGACAAAGAAACAATACATTTGTGAGGAATTGACAGGACAAAGAAACTTAGGTTTTGGGTGCCCAACTAGTGACGATTATCAGCAGAGTTTGGGCTTGGGGTAGTATATTAAAGAAGTAATGAGTTTGTTTATATAGGCTTCCTGGCCCCAAATTCCCTATCTTTTGTGTTAAGGGTGTCCTTCTACCTCTAGATGCAAGGAGTGCACATTTCACATGAGTGACTTATTTCCTATTTTCAGTGAGACAGAAAGGAGAGTCAGAGTGTCCCTCTTGCGTTGGCTGTTTCTTTTTTTTTTAAATTTATTTATTTAATTTATTTTTATTTTTGGCTATGTTTGGTCTTCGTTGCTGTGCGTGGGCTTTCTCTAGTTTCGGCGAGCGGGGGCTACTCTTCTTTGCGGCGTGCAGGCTTCTCCTTGCGGTGGCTTCTCTTGCTGAGGAGCACAGGCTCTAGGGGCGCAGGCTTCAGTAGTTGTGGCTTGCAGACTCTAGAGCACAGGCTCAGTAGTTGTGGTGCATGGGCTTAAGTCGCTCTGCAGCATGTGGGATCCTCCTGGACCAGGGCTTGAACCTGTGTCCCCTTCATTGGCAGGCAGATTCTTCACCACTGCACCACCGGGGAAGCCCTAAAGTGAAATTACTTTTAATTTCTGTGTTTTCTCCAGTAATGTTTTCTGGTTAAGTAGGGTACAGAATATGTGGACATCTAGGTTTAACAAGGGTGGCCGTTGCCAACTCAGTACAATTGAGGAGTTTGGATTTTATTTAGAGGTTCCTAGAGAACTACTGGAGGATTGCGCAGAGATCTGGGTGTCAGGAAGGTGGTTCTAGCTCAGTGTGTATGTATGAGAAAGACTTATTGAGGAATGGTAGTTTAGTGCAAGAGGACCCTTGACGGAACACCTTCATAGACCTGTTAATAGTGTCCTTAGATGACAGCTCAGGAACAGAGGGTCTTTTCCAGCATTTTCTGCATACTTACAATATATAACAGGTTCTGGGAGGGCATGATAAATCAAGCAAGGTTTTGCCTTCTCAAAACTCTCTTGGCTTTAGATGATTTGTAATTATTTTTAGGTGTTTGGGGACACAGAAGAGGGAAGGAGCGATAAACACAGGGTAGAAATCAGGCAAGCCCTCCCACAGGAGATGACATTTCAGATGAGCTTTGAGGGAGTAGGCCCTTAGGGAGGGAAGATAATTTTAGGCAGGAGGAATAACATGAACCCAGTCAAGAGATGCAAGATGTACCACTAGAACAAATGCTGCATGATGAGAAATGGGGGAGGGGGGTGTGAGTGCCAGCGAGCGGCTCTTCTTCCATTGACCAGCAACTAAATAGAACTAAGGCGTTCTATTTCCTGACAAGGGTAAGGCATCTGGGCCCTGAACTGTAGCAAGAATGGTTTGAAAGGAAAGTGAAGCTTTTTTTAACGGTGATATTTTTTTTTAACTTAAAAAATAACTACATGGAGCTGCTCTTGGGATTTGTGCTATAATCTGCTCACTTAAGAACAGTTTAAAGTTAAAATGCCTTATCTAGCCTTTTCTGGAATGCCATTAGAAAATGTTAACTATGGTAACTCGGACCTGTCTGTCCCAGAAGGCTCTTAGAAGTCAACCCTTCTCACTTGCTTTTAGCACATTAAGTTAAATGATTTTAAAGTCCCTCTGTATCCTAAGACATGCTTTTGCAATAAACTGTAGCTTCTATAGATGTTTAAGAATGTGGAGTTATGACGCCAACTCATGGGTTGTTTTGTGTAGATTAAATGAAAGAAGGCATGTAAACTGGTTAGTACAAAGCTTGGCACAGCAGCTGGGAGTAAATGGTAAGTTCTCTGCCTTAATCCCAGCTGTCTTTCCTTCACATTTTTTCATTCTTTGCTTCCTAAGTCATCTTGTTTCCTGAACACCTATGTGCTAGACCCATCTTCTCTTCTAAGGACCCCAGAATCAGGTTAGGCACTCACATAAATAACCACCAAACAGAGTGTCAGTTTAGCACCTTGTAGGGGAACAAAACTTTCCACCCCCAAATGTGTCTCTTTGGTTTGAGGATGATTTGGGGCTGATTATTTTTAAGAAACAAAACCTCAGGAAGAACTTTCTACCTTCTGCCCTTAACCGCCTAAAGGGCCTATTCAGGAAGAACAACTATCACCATAGAAAACTAAAGTATACCATGAACTAGGTGTGGTAGACTAGGGGCACTCAGCAAGGCCTGTTTGATCAAAGTCCTCTCTGGGTCCCATTGTGTTTGCAGAGGGTTTTTTCCCTCCCTCACAATGTGTAGAGTGTGTGTGAGTGTGTGTGTGTGTGTGTGAACGCGTTCTGAAACTGAGAGGCTGCAACAAGCCTCTGCCTTGCACCTGGGAGGGGACTCAAAAGGAGCAAATTGTGGCTTCACGGAGCCTTTAGAAACCAGCAACCTGAGCGTGTTTCAGTCTGGCAGTATCCAGACAAAGAAGTGGGAAAGACATTCATTTATTTATTTCTTCATCAAATATTCATAGCCACCTGCTAGCACAAGGTGCTGAGTAAGAATATGAGTAAGAGCAGGGAAGTATGAGGGAGTGTGGCTCACTCGGGTGGCTGGCTGCAGGTGCCGGGCATGGCTGGAGTTAAATATATGCAGTTTTCCTTCAACAACATGACGAACCAAAATCTGAGTGGGATAAGGAGGAAGTACTATAAAGCGAAGTTATGTGTTGGTGAAAATTTGTCACTTCTTTTCAGAATTAGTCAGGATGGACTAGAAGTTTTTTTTTTTTTTAAAGCCTAATCGCTTCCTTTAGGGAATCACCAGACTGACTAATCCATTACTTTAGGGCAGTAGGTCGCAAACTGCTGTTCACTAAAATCATCCAGGGAGTTTTAAAAACCTCAGATGGCCAGGTCGCAAGCAATACCAATTACATCAGAATGTCTGCGGGTGGGAGCCAGGCGGCAGCGTTTTTGAAGATCCTCGCATGATTACAATCAGTAGCAAAGTTCGGGAGTCACTGCCCGAGGGCATAGTCCAGTTTTGTTCAATTAAGGCACACTCTTGGTTCCGGTTCCAAATATTTCTTAAATTGTTTTTGCTCCTTTCTTGGGTTGGGGGCGCTGTGAGCAGGAAGAGGATATGCTGTCACCCAATTAGGAGATCCCACTTTGCTAAGCGCATCAGCCTAGTTGCCAGTGCTGCACGAAGAGTGGGTTTTTGCTTTGTCATTCTGACTCTGGCGGTTTGCCCGCCCATTCAGAGGAGGGCGCGGCTTCTCGGAGCTACTGGGAACCCGCAGCCTTTCCTCCTCAGTTTGCTTCAGTCCCGCATTGCACCGGAGCGGCAGGTGCTGGGACGTCTGAAGGAGCGCCTGGTGCCCAAGGACTCGTGTTCGTGTAAGCTTCGGGTTTACTGAAAACGGAGGAAGCCCCAAGCCCCTGGGCTGTGAACACTCTGGGCCGAGAGCATCCTCCTGCCGGGTGCCTTGTGGATGCAGGGGAAGGGGAGACGTTTGAATGCGTGTCTGAGTAGGGCCGAGGCTTCTCTTAAGTCGGGTGAGCTTCTTGGCGGTGCTCATTGTTTCGCCCGGGTCGGTGAAAGCTTGGCGTGTTGGTAGGTGAGACCGGCCCCCTGTCGGCTGGTGGTTTCCTGTCTCCAGCTCTTCTTTATAGAGACGGTTTGCAGAATATCGGAGAAAATAGTTTCTGTATCATTTCTTAATGCACGAGTCTTGAAATGTAGGTGATAATATGATGAATAGATTGACAGAGCCTTGTCAGCATTAAGCGAGTATAACGATTAAAGGATGCCTTTCGAGGAATTTTCACACCACTGAATCCTCAGAAATTGTGAGAGATTGGCAAATCACGTGTGTCTTCGTGTGTTCAAGTGGGGAGACCAAGGCTTAGACTCCTGTGACTTTCCCTAGGCTGTTAAAGGAGACAACTAAGAGGAACCGGCGCTTATCTCACTGTATCAGGCAGTACAGGGTAGGGGTTAAAGGCTACACTGCACTGCCTGGTTTGAATCCTGGCTCTGCTGTTGACTAGCTGCTTGAATTTGGGTAGGGAAGCTTTTCTGTGCCTCAGTTTCCCTATTGGTGAAATGGACCTGATTGGACCTACTTCAACAGGGTAGTTATGAAGATTAAGTGTTAACATATGCAAAGCACTACAGAATCGTTAGCTGCTATTATTATTGTTATTGTCAAACAGCTATACTTTGGGGGCTGGTGTGGTTTTTGTCTCATGAATGGACCTGATGTCAGTATAACTAGAGTCTATTTTTAATTCTCACTGACTCATTCTTTACCTGAGTTCGCCCGTTTGTAAAATTGGACCATTTGCACCAAGCATGTCATTTAGGGTGTTGCTGTATTATTTCAAGGTTCTCTAATAAAAGCACCCCAAGTGGGCAGTGTTCTTAATTTTGCCTCGAGGTTTCAAATTTCAGAGAAACTTTGGAAGTTGGTTTTTTGGCATTCTGTGTATACGATGCAGAGTTCAAAGGAAGATTAAGTTGGGAGGTGTTAGTTGGCCTCGAGGCCATGTTTCCAGCCCGCGTGTAGGTGCGCCGGTCCGGGACCCGAGCTGGTGGCCGGCCTTAGTCAAGGTCAGGGCCGGGGCTGGGGCCTGGGCTGTCGCCCGGGCGAGTGCAGTTTGGGACGCGGAAGCCCCGCCCCCGCCGCGCACTTCCCGCCACGGCCCCGGGCGGAAAGACTGACCGGATCCGCTCTGCTTTTGCGCCCCAGAGAACGGGCGGGGCCTCGAGGGAGCGCTCTGCGAACTGACCTTGAAAACCGACATACCCGTTGTGTTTGTGAAACGGAGAAAGCTAGGCGGCCATGGTCCAACCCTGAAGGTAGGTAGGGGACCTTAACGTCTCTTTTGCCGCCTGAACTGCAAACGAGCTCATCGATCCGGCCGTGGTCTCAAAGCCAGGGTGATTGTGAGCGAACCTCCAACCGGAGCACATCCTTAGAAAACGACAAAGAAACGTGGGGGCCAGCTCACGTGTTAATCGACGTGGATGAGACACACATTTCAGAAGTGGGAAGCGTGGAAGGGCAGACGGCCTATTTTCTTCTTTTAAATAGGTTTTTTAAAGTGTCCTTTTTCTTTCCTTCCCAGTAAATCCAAATAACAAAATTTTTTAGCAGCAGTGTAAACTGCTGAAAGTGAGTCGTTTAGAGAAGTACTGAGAAAAGTGGGTCAAGAAATGCTTTATCTTTGTCCGTCCCTATCGTCTTCCTCTTTAATTCTCAGGGAGGGAAACCCAGAAACCCCAGGCTCAGGGGAGAGCAACCAGCAAGCTCCTAGAGTAAGTTCATTTCCCTTCAGGTATCTCTTTTCTAGCCCAGAGTTAACAACTGGGTAGAGGGAAATAAGAGAAATAAATCTTTCCTTTGGGTGGTGGTGAGTGTGGTGGCGTCCTCCCTTAGGACCATCCACTGAGGGGTGGATGGGTCATGGCCTGCCATACAGGCAAGATGCTGGGAGGCTGGATGGGTCATGACCTGCCATACAGGCAAGATGCTGGGAGGTTGGGTGCACATTTGGGGGAGATATGCAACGTGGATGACCAGGTTAGAAAGCCTTAGAATCCTATCACCTTGATATAGCTTTAACTTTTGCTGATTTTTTTGTCCTCCTTGTCTGTATCAATGTAATGTTTAAGAAATGGATCTTATACTTGAACATTGCCTCTTAGAAGTAAGCCTGAGGCCTCAGTTAAATGTAACAATGTATTTAGATGTGTGTGTGTTTAGGAAGGTTATAACAATTTGTATTTTTATTTACTACCTTTTCTTTTAAAAGAATCTTATTTATTACCTTTTTGAAGAATGGGTATAAGAAATGGAGATAGACTTCAAAGACAAATAGTAAACTAATGGAAAATAATTAATGGAGATTAAGGCTTTTAGCTTGGTATAAAATACACTGTGTTACTCAAGACCTTTAGTTTGCAAGTAAAATGAGACAAAGTCCTGTTAATATTCTTTCCTGTCTGATCTTTTCTCTGCCTGTGTCATAAATTTGTACTTAAAAAGCTGTATAGGCATTTGATCTTTATATAAATTCTACACATGGTCCTAGTTTTAACACCAGTGGGAGTAAAAAGTAAAATCACTTTTTTATAAGCTTTGCACCTACTTTATTGGTAAGATCTGATATTCTCAATTCTATATGATCATAGTTAATTTCAGACATTTAGTGAGGTGCGATGCCATGCATGAAAAGCCTACCACCAAGTTATAATTAAATTTTAAAAAATGAACATCTCTTTTAAGTAAACTTACCACTCTCCTTTGTATCATTTGATATATTTTTGGTTTTTAATGAGTACTAAGATATGGAAGAAGACACAACAAGGTAAGGCTACTGCTTTGAAATGTTTGTGAATTTCTAGATAATTGTTACCCACGTTTGGAACTAAATGGTAGGTCTTGAAATTCTTTAGGGAACATTGGGTTTGAGTGGAGAAAGGCATTTATTTAGTGGAGAGTTGAGTGCTTATAGAATTAGTGTTATAATCCTGAAGTCCACACCTTAAAAAAGCTTAAGATTTCCTGCTTTAGTTGCAACCTAAATAATGGAGAGGGAGGGAGCTCGTTAAAACATGTGCTTTTCTTTTCTCCTCTTAATATTGTTTCTTCCTTTGTCTTCCTTTCTCCTCAATAAATAGCAGCAGCAGCAAAACCTACCTTGTTTTCACAGTGTGCTATGGGAGACCAGGGAGTACAGCCCTACTCCAAGGAACTGATACATTTAGATGACTACCTACAGGATGAAGGCTTTAGTGCCTTTCAAAAAACTGTAGACTATGGACCACCTGCACAGAGTCCCCTGGAGTGCTTGTTAAACACACATGCTTGGGCTTTACCCGAGATCTTGTTCACTGAACCCTCTGGAAGGGGCTAGGTTCTGCCTTTAAATTTATTTTAAACAAGCCTCCTCAGGTAATTCTTATGATAAATATCACGTTTGAGACTTACTTTAATGTATAAAGTAGTTTGGTCACGATTAGTTGCTAAATAATTAGAATCGAGGAAAACCAAACAAAAGATTACTATTTAATACCTAAAAGGTGTTAGTTAGAAGATGGCAAATAGTAACTCAACAGGCAAGTAACACTTCCTACCTGAATAGAAAAATGGGGAACTGTGCTATCTGTGGTCAGGGCTTGTGTGTCCACGTGTGAAATTAGCACTAGCTAGCTACTAAATTCTAAGAACTATGAATATAGTTCCTGTTGCACAAAGACATACGGCTTTCATAAACATTGTAGTTCTTAAGAGCAAGCTTGCAAATTTTCCTACAGGGACTCTTTCTTATATGTAAATCAGTGTCTCCAGGATGCCAGAGTTTTGAAACCACTCATATAAAATGAATGCCTGTCGGTGGTATTGAGAGGTAAAGCAAAGTGAGTGAAAGAGTGCTTATTGGAACACAAAGTGCCAGACATAGTTAAGCCTTCAGTAGTTTGAGATAATAATCTTGGGAGATTAAGACTAAAACTTGCAACATGGGACTTAATTTCTTCCAAGACGGACACAAAGTGGTGCATGATTAACATCCAAGGGAATTATGGAGCCAGTGTGGGAGGAGCTCCGAGGTGATGGTGTTGTGGTCAGGCTGGGAGCCCCCCACGTTCTGGGCCCGGGGTAGGCACTGAAACAGGCAGGTCTCCTTTCAAGCCTAACTTCTAAAAGTTACCAGAAACCAGACTCCTAACTGAATAGACATCGGGAAATGAGTGGTAACTTAATAACTCTGACCATTCCCTTTCTTTCTTAATACTCTACCAAAATGGGCAGAAAACTTGATTCTCTTCTCAGATAATCCCTTCCGGGGAGATTAGTAGTGTATGTGCTTTTTGGCCTAGTTAAGGTTGAGGCCTAAGGAGAATTGAAGGACTGCTTTGACTCTGGTTTATTTAAGAAGGTAAGAGTAAGGACTAACAGTGTTTACAAGAGGCATGGATTGTTAGTACAATAAATTTGTTTGGTGCTGATTATATAGTAAAATTTTTACTAGCTGTGAATGCATGGTGAGACCCAGTGCCTTCTCCCACTTTAACCAGGTGACAGCACAAGCCTCTTCTTTGCTGTCTGTCAGTCCTTGTACAGTGGTGTCACTCTTCTGGTCCAGGCTTTGGATTTCCTCTCACCTTTCCTGTCTGTTCATTTACCAGGGCCTGATGGTTTCCCACACAGGTGCCTACTTCTTCTATTAACTTTTTGCCCAGGCTACTTCAGGTACTGTTGCCTCCTACCTAAACGGTCTCTAACTGGCTGCCCACTTTTGACCTCCCTGTCCTTGCAGTCCATCTGCTGCAGAACCATCTTCCTGATTGCTTCTTTGCTGCCCCCAGATCTGCATCCAGAATGAGTATATATTTCTTAACTTGGTTTTCTGTGTCCTCCAGGGTCTGGCCCCAACCTGCTTTTCTGGTGATCTCGTGCTCTGCCCCCGTTTATCTCTACTGGAAGCTCGTGGGAATACTGTTGGAGCTGTGGTCCCTAAAATTTCCCTCCTTTGTTCTGTTCTTCATTTTCTTTCTCGACTTTTCTTCCTGCTCAGACCCACTTTTCCAACTGCCTACCTGTGTCAGAGTACAAGGCCAGATTTGCCTGTTTCTCCCTCCTCCGCTCCCGCAGCACTCCCGCAAATCCCTGTCCCTGGGAAAGGAGTCGTCCTGCCAATATCAGAAGTGAAGAGTTAGACTTATTCCTTGTGCCTGGGATTCTAGATCTGCCTTAGAGCTCATCAGAAATTTAAATGAATGTCTGTCAATGATAGCAGCTACCATTTATTGAATGTCTGTTGTGTGATAGCCCCTAAATGCTGTGGTACCTAGTTGACCGAAATCCTCCCAGGAGTAGTCCTGTGAAGGAGGTGGTGTGATCCAGTTTTACAGATGAGCAAATGGAGGCCCTCAGAACTTAAGGAGTATGCCCCGGTGACACAGCTAATAAAGCAGCAGAGCCAGGATGGAGCGCAGGCCTGTCTGTAAAGTTCACTCTGGTGTTCTCACACTTCTGGCACTTGGCTCTGTGTTATCGCTATTGGGATGCGTGCCTGATCTCCCTGGTGTGATTGTGCGCTCATGATTCATGGCTGAGCCCATGCAAATCTTGGTATTCCTAGCATAGCTCTGGCAAATTGGCGTTTGTGCATAGCATGCTTGCTGAGTGGAACTGCATTCCTCTGTGCCTGCTAAATTATACCCTCCTTTAGAAAAGTGTCAGGAGGTAGCTAACATCCTCCTTTAGGATGAAAATGGTTTATCTTTGTATCTTCCATGTGTTATTTTAACACCTAGTATGCACTCAGTAAATACCTGTGGAATGAATGGTTGATGGTAGGGCCACAGGACTGACTTCAGTGAGGGATTTAGCTACAAGGTGTCTGATTTGGTGAAAGTGGACTGTCTCCGTTAGCGATTAAGCCCTAAGTATAATAGTTCAGGAGAGGTTCTAGGCAGCATATAAAGCAGTTCAGACTTTTAAAAGAGCTGTATGATAGCGGCATTGGCCAGCTTGTGTAGCTGTGTCAGGTCAGTTGAGAAGAAAGTCACATTATGTCTGTTTAGCTACTGTTTACTGAGCCCCTGTGTTCTCGATGTTGAGCTAGGCTCTGTCTTTGTTATCTCTAACTCAAGTCTGTAGGGCAATGTATATATTTTAAAATACCTTTGTCAACAGATGTTTGTATATGATTTTTTACAAAGAGTCGTGGCCGCTCTGTATGACAGAGAAGACGTCGGATAGAAGACATTTACAAAAGAGGAAACTCAAACTCCGAAGAAAGCACTACTTTTGATTTTAACCCAGAGCTCCAGAGCTGAGCTTTTTCAAGGCTGCCTCCTTTAGAAGCCGAATACCCAGTGCTTTCCTACCCTTAGTCTATCAGAATGATGCTCCTGATCATTGCTGACTTCTGAGGTGTCCCAGGAGAGTTGGTAATGGCTCTTACAAGGGGAAGGGTTCTCTATTCTCATCTCACACCCTTGTTTATGTTACTTCTTCAGGCTTGGCAAATCAGCCAGCACTTGGTTTTCTGAAGTGTCAGTTAAATATATGACTTTCAACCACAGAGCAAGGGCGGAGGTTTTATATACTCTAAAGTATTTCAGTGGCAGGTCCAAACTATTTTGTGGGGCTTGACTGTCATTTTATCTTTTACTTCAACTAACAGCAAAGCCTTCTTATTTGAATAGAACAGTTATTCAAAGCCTCTTTCAGATACCAGGTGTTTACAAAGAATCTGCTGAAGTCCAAGGAGCTATTTATGAGAAAAATATACATAAAGAATTGTGCTGGAATTCCCCGGCAGTCCAGTGGTTAGGACTCTGGGCTTGCATTGCAGCGGGCACAGGTTCGATCCCTGGTCAAGGAATTAAGATCCCACATGCCACGTGGCACAGCCAAAAAAAAAAAAAAATTCTATGCCATTTAACTGACATTAGAATTTAAATAAACCCACACTGATTAATTTTAATAAATTTTCCAAAAAAAAAAGAAAGGAATTTTGCATATAATCTCAGACTCTTCATGGCCCTGATTCAGAATTTCTAGTAGAGTGGTTTACCCTTCAAAGTGCTATACACAGTTCCATTAGTTGAAGCTCTAGTAGGTTTTTAAATTTTATATGACAAATTTCTTTTCACTGGTATTATTATAGTGAGATATACTTCTCTGTCTTCTTTATGGATATTTAGCCTTTAAAATATTTTTCTGTTCCTAAAACAACATCCCAGGAGTGAAGCTACTGGTTTGTATACACTTTTTTTTTTTTCCTATTTAGTGTCTTAATGTTTATTAATCACTTGCTATCTTTGGGATAACTGAAGATTTAAGTACCTGTTCAATAGTTGAAACTATTGTCAGATCTATCACGTAATTCTCATTCATTCAATACTTACAGTAACTTTATGATGTGAGTACTAGTATTCTCATCTTACAAATGAGGAGGCTGGAGGCTGACAGGTTAAGCAACCTAAAGTAGTGCTAATAGCTAATAGGTCATGATTGGAACCCAGGTTTGCCTCCTTCCACTGTCCATGGTCTTTTCAGAAACTCGTTTAAAAAACACAGATATCTGCCTTGATCATTGGAAAGTTTACCTTTAATACTGAAAAGCCAAACAAAGCAAAAATATACACACACAAACATAACCTTAAAGGAAATTCGGATGAAAGAGAACATATACCTACCATCCAGCTACTCCAGCAAATCAAGCTAGGCCTTCATCACATCTCTTCACAGCTCAGTATTAAATCAATACCCTGGCAGGATGAGGGGAGAAAAACTGCTGGGAAAGGAGGAACAGAAAAGTGTCAGGAGGTAGCTAACAGCAGGATAAGCATATCTTTTAGAGTGCGGGACTCAAACCTGACTGGTTCTTGGCTTTGGCTCAGAAGTCTCTTAAATATCTGTTCGTTGTAGATTAATCAGGCAGTAAAACCCCACTGGAAAAGATAGTGGGTCCTATGTGACTTTTAAAATTTGACCATAGAGAGACCCATAACCTGTAACATTCATCCGTACCACCATGTTTGTGTTGAACACTAGGGGTTGTGGGAAGGAGCTTAAGAATGCTTGGAATGAATGAATCTGAACTCCTAGCAAAGGGACTGAATAATAATACTGGAGAAAAAAACTGAAGAAAAGAAGAAAGGAAATGGAGACCCTATGGAGCCTTTAGCAGCAACTCCTGAAAGAGAAAAAGGGGGAAGAGGGAAGCTAAATTATTTTGGAGGCCAAGTTGTGTGTTAAGGGACCTGAACTAGTCTTACTGCAAGAAGAAGGTAGACTTCAGTGAATTCTTTGAAGTACTCGCACTTTTTGCCTTCTGTTAAGAGTCACAGAGAAGTTTACTGGTATAACAAATTATGTATTGCTGTGCATTCTTTTTAAGCTGCATTTATATAATTATTACTAGTAATTGGACCTCGGGTTGGAAAATCACCGTTTAGTAACTTAAGGATTCACAAGTGCAGAAATCCCATTCTTCAAATGATCAGGGAAAATCATTAGGTTTGAGATTTTTATTTTGTAGACACATCTAAACTTTGCACTCTAGAGGCAGATTTTAAAAGGCAGAGTATAATGCAAGTATGACTTTCTAAGGATGACCTAAGTTACATGTTACCAAGGTTCTTATGAGCAGGGATCTAGCAGAGAATAAATTCAGCACTGAAAATCACAACTTAGTAATGTGATGCTGGTCTTGATGTGTGCTGTTGCTCTGAGCAAGTTGTGTGGGCTGTTATCTCCTGTGACATCCCTATAAGTGATACATCAGTAATACTTTATAAGTAGGTTGGGAAAATTAATTTATTTTTCCAAGGCATTTAAAAATTGTTTGAAGAAAGGCTCTGTATGGAGCAAATTGGTGTCAGTCTGTTTTCCATCCTCTGAGCCAGGAGAAAATAGGCACCTTAGGGTGGGAAGGTTGGCTTATCTTTCAGAGTTCTTTTATAAATCACTTTTATTGAATTTGAAATGGATATCGGAAGCTCCCAAGAATATGGTTAACTATAAAAGCAGACTGTTTTGGACTTGGAACTATGTGTTTTCATCAAAGATTTAAGACGGGTAAGTATTAGTTTGTAATTGGCCAGACTTGGGGGTAAAATATGGCCCTTTGATGGTCCTGGTCCCCAGCTTTGTTTTTCTCTTGCTTTTTCTTCATTTCAGAGAAGAGGTAAGGCTGACTTTCTGAAAAGCAGTCAACTTTACTTTTTTTTTTTAATTAATTTATTTTTGGCTGCGTTGGGTCTTTGTTGCTGCGCGCGGGCTTTCTCTAGTTGTGGTGAGCGGAGGCTACTCTTTGTTGCGGTGCACAGGCTTCTTGTTGCGGTGGCTTCTCTTGTGGAGCACAGGCTCTAGGCACGTGGGCTCAGTAGTTGTGGCTCGCGGGCTCTAGAGCACAGGCTCAGTAGTTGTGGCGCATGGGCTTAGTTGCTCCGCGGCATGTGGGATTTTCCCGGACTAGGGCTCGAACCCGTGTCCCCTGCATTGGCAGGCAGATTCTTAACCACTGCACGACCAGGGAAGTCCCAACTTATTGTCAGTGTGTAAGATCTATTTCTTCCATTAATCTGTGAAATCTTTTGCTTCAAATAAGTTGGCAATAGGTACTGGAACAAAGGTTTTCATCTACGCTTACACTTTCAAGTGTGCATACTCAAATGCCTCCATGTGAAAATAGCTTTGCTTGGAAAATTTATAACCAAATTCTTGCTTTAGGGAAGCTAACAGTCTAATAGGGCAGGGTAATGTATATGCACAAGTAACAGTACTGCATGCTGTTTTTGAAAAATGCATGTTTCTTTCTGAATTTTAACCCCTACTTAAAAAGAATAATGGTGAACGAAGAGTAATGTAACTATTTTGAAGTAACTTAACATGAGGCTTGGCTGTTCATGTATTTGCAAGAAACTTTATGCTAATGTCAAAGAAAAATGAACCAGTGTAGGGCTTCCCTGGTGGCGCAGTGGTTGTGAGTCCGCCTGCCGATGCAGGGGACACGGGTTCGTTACCCGGTCCGGGAAGATCCCACATGCCGCGGAGCGGCTGGTCCCGTGAGCCATGGCCGCTGAGCCTGCGCGTCCGGAGCCTGTGCGCCACAACGGGAGAGGCCACAACAGTGAGAGGCCCGCGTACCACAAAAAAAATGAATAAATAAAAATAAAAAAAATAAAAATAAAGAACCAGTGTAGATGCATAGGAAGGAAGGTAGGGCCAATATACTTCCTGGTGCCTTGAAACCAGAGCTTCAGATGCAATGTGGTGGTCTCTCTCCCTCTTTTCCTCTCTCCTTCCCCTCTTGTGACTGATGAGCTAAGCCCTTTCTCCAACTGTATGTGATTTCCTAGTGAACTGGGGGGTGTATTTTTCCAACATACATTAGTCACCCGACTTACAGCATTCACATTCATATCCTTATAACAGATTGTGTCTAAAATCTTCACAGATTTCTCACCTTTTAGGGTTCAGATTTACTACCCACTCGGAGTCTGTGACCCTTACTTTTGGCAAGCCTCCGAACAGCTCTTTGATGGAGACCCTGTCCACTTTATTCTTGTGCCCTTGGGTGGCGCAGCACCAGAGATCGCTTTGCGTAACGCTGGGGGACGGGGGGCGGGGGTGGGAGTGGGGTAGGGTAGTGCACCTTCGCGCATGCGCCAGTCCGGACCCTGGTTTACCTGGTGACCCCGCCCCCCACTGGGGTAGGTTAGAGAGGATTTGGCTTTTGAAGGTTTTGAGGGCCCGCCTAGGTAATTAACACAATTTACATTAGTATAATGAAGACGGAGTTCCGAGCAACCACCTTGCAAATGGACCCTGAGAGTTCAGCCTATCTGTAATGGAGATACCGCAGGCCACGATCTTTGGCTTTGTGAGCAGTTTATAATTTAGCCAGATTTAGTTTCCCCCCCTAAAAAGTCTTTTAATCACAGAGCGAAAAAGCGCTGCCGCAACATGTGACAGCAAATGTTTTAAAGCACGGGACGTTTGGTCCCCCATAATTTTGTCATAAGATTGTCCAAGCGTTTCTTTGAAAGCTAGAGGACACTGCCAGTAAACGCCAAAATAGTAGCTGTCGCTTGAACCGAGCGGTGTTACTCTAGGGTGGGGGTGGGACCCATTCTCGCGCGCCTTCTGCGCCGGCCGGGGGCTTGTTTGCGAACACTGAGGGGTCTGGGCTCCGCGGGGCGGGACCGCTGGGAGGCGGGGCGAGCCGGGCGCGGGGCCGGCGGGACTCCGCTAGTGCGCATGGTCAGGCGTCCTTCTCCGCTCCGGCTGACCCCTTGTTTCCGCCGTTGGCCGAAACACTGCGAAGGCCGTTACCTGAGCGCTACCGGTCGCCGACATGGCTGAGGAAAAAGATTGCTTGAGGGGAGACGTAGAGAAGGGCGAGGAGCCGGTGGTGACCATTACCGATGGTGCGTACTCTGGGAAGCAGGCGGCGGAGGAGCCGATGAAGGTGGAAGCGGAGGCGGGGGCTGATGCCTGCTCTGACGACCTCAGCTGTGGGGAGGCCGACATCGACCCAAGCCTGCTGGAGCTGGTTGATGAGGAGAAATGCCGGAGTATCCGCAAGCAGTACCGGCAGCTCATCTATAACGTCCAGCAGAACCGTGATGACATAGTGAACACGACGAGCGAGTCCTTAACCGAGGCTCTCGAAGAAGCCAATGTCCTGTTTGATGCAGTGAGTCGAACGAGAGAAGCGGCCCTCGACGCTCAGTTTCTTGTTTTGGCTTCTGATTTGGGTAAAGAAAAAGCAAAGCAGCTAAACTCTGACATGAGCCTTTTTAATCAGGTGGCATTTTGTGATTTTCTGCTTATATTTGTGGGTCTAAACTGGATGGAAGATGATGGACGTGATGCGCTGAGTGACTGTGATGATAATATAGTTCGCTCTTTTTGGGAGACAGTACAAAAGGAAGCAACGTCGTGGATGCTGCAAGCTGAAACATTCCACTTTATATTCGGTTCATTCAAATCAGAGCCTTCCGCGCGGAAGCCCCGACTTGAGCACCGGAAAAGAGTTCACAGAATGGAAGAAAACGGGGATATGCCTACAAAGCTGAGGAAGCTGGACCTGAGTAGTAATCAAGAAGCGACAGAGAAAGAAGTAGAAAGAATCTTGGGATTGTTGCAAACGTACTTTCAGAAGTATCCTGATACTCCCGTGTCCTATTTTGAGTTTGTGATTGACCCAAACTCTTTCTCTCGTACTGTGGAGAATATATTTTATGTTTCTTTCATTATAAGGGATGGTTTTGCAAGAATAAGGCTTGACCATGACAGGCTGCCAATATTGGAGCCCATTAATATTAACCATGTGGGTGAGGGGAATGATTCCAGTTCCCATTGCAGGAAACAAGGAGTTATATCTTTGAGTTTACAGGACTGGAAAAATATTGTGGCAACTTTTGAAATTTCAGAGGCCATGATCACAAACTCGTACTAAAGGTTTTTGTTCTTAGTGTAGGAGACATTTTGTGGCTTTTCTTAAGCATCTCAAAATGGAGAGTAAAATCCAAACAGAAACACATATTGTATCTCTTGTAAAGTGAAAAAGTATTTTCAAGAACATCAGAAATTTGTTTCACTGTGCAGTGTATTTTTCTTGGTAGTTTATAAAGTTGTCATGATCTTCTGTTGCTAAAAAAATCTCACTGGCATGTTCATGGGAAAATTATTTTGAATGCTTCTTAAGACTTTAATAATAAAAGTCAGTTCTGAATTCCATAAATTAAAAGGTATTTGATAATTTTCCCAAAAAAATTAGTTATGGTGCTCTGTGATACTTACTGCCTTGCTTCCTCCGCTCCAGGGAACCACAGGAATCCCAAATGGGGCTCTTGACCAGGTTGGGGAGAAGAGTGGGTGGAAAAACTGGTCAAGGAAGACTTTCTGTAGGGCAGAGCCTAAGTGACGTTAATACTGTAAGAAAAAAAAAAATTCAGATGCCATGCTTCATTGCAAAGAAGACTCAGAAAGATTAATGAGTGGGTATCCATATTTGAAATAATTTCTCCTGCAATTGGACTCAACAAAAGTAGAATATCTCTACTGTAGTAGGTGAGCCATCAACTAAGTGCTGAAAGGCAAGCAGGAATTGGTCAAAGGTAAAGAAGGTAGTCTCGCAGAGAAATATGGAGGCCAAATACATGGAATTGTGAGAAGTTATGGCTCCAGAGAGACCTGTAAGATTTTTTGGAAGACTACTCCATTTGAATGTTAAACTGGGCAAAAATTGGCATACCTCATCTGTTAGTGACCTCAGGAGTAGAAGGTAACCTTTGCCAGATTATTTCAAACACAAAATCTTTTAACATCCAGTTACATAGTCTTCATGTACTTGCTTCATTTCTTCTCTGGCCCCTAGCTTCCCTTTGTAATTTCTGCTGATACAGAGTGTCCCTCAGAATCAGTGATGTTTCATCATGTTAACAGCTTTGAATATTTGTTTCCAACTCCATTTTGATTTCTTAAGTAGGGCTTTAAATGCCTGGAAACTTCCTGTTTAAACAGAAATATATGATTAATTAATCCAAGTTTTCTTCATTTTCTTCACTTAGCATAAAGCCATAAAGGCTTTTTAGTGTTGTTGCTTGTAATTGTTTTAAGAATATAAATTACCACCTTATTTGGACGCTACTGCTGAAAATTTGAGTCTTTAAGAAAACAAGTTTTGAAGGTGCAGTGAGCATGCCTATGCTTTCCTTGATCCCTATAGAAACTAAATCTTTGGTAGCAGGGGGTCTTGCCATTAAATCTTATTTGGCAAGTGGATAAGTATCTGCTTTGCATAGCAGTAATGATAAACTTTCCCACCAAGTCTAAATGTAATACAGGGAAGGGAAATCCAAAGACTAAATGAATGACTTCGAGATCAAGAGAAGATTGAGATTGAGAGGTTCTTCAGTAATAGTGGAGGTTTTTAGCAAAAAGAGAAATTTCTCATGAAACTGGGCCAATTATTTTCTGAAGTAGTCAGTTTTTCCCCTTTTTTATATGAAGGGATGCTCACCCTTCCCAGTGTCTACCACCCTTTGATCTAGCAATTGTGGAAGCATCATTTGGTCTCTGATCCTCCCTTTAGCATGCCTCTACCAACTGGGTTCCTTAGGTTTTCCAGAGCTTTGCTGTTTGGGGAAAAGATAATCTTAGTGATAGCAAAAAGATCTTGCCTCAGGTCTACTCACCACCAGTTCTCTCTTTAAACACCAAGTGCCTTTACAGGAGTATTTGAAACTTAGTGATGACTAAAAGCATTAACAGAGAATGTGGAGGTTTGGGAGGAAGGTAATCTTCTGGGTCTTCTCTAAAGTAATAGCTGTTAACATATAAATCAGGTTGACCACTTGTTTCTACTTTTAATTGGTTGTCATGACACATAGATTGCCTCATCACTTGGAAATTAAAGCGACTGTTTATCTTGAAGAAAAAAGGAAAATTGACCAATAGATAATTATAGAGATTAGATATGAACCAAGCTGCAAGTCTGCTGGTTTCCCTCTAATATAGTTAGAGTGCCTTATATTTCGCAGGTTCAGTAAAATCAGCTGAACTTCAGGAGAATATTATGGAAATCTTTTAAACTAGGATTTTGTTGTTTGACAGAACCACTCTCTGATCAAAGGACCTGGGATCAGATCCTCTGTAACGTTCTAGTTGGAGACTTTGGGCAAATTATTAAACCCGCAAACCTTTAGGTTTTTTATTTGCTAAGTGGGAATAATTACCTGTTCTCTTAAATTTACAGTAAGGATAAAATGAGAAAATGTATGTGACAAGTACTTTGAATTAATGGGTGTGGTATAGTGAGAAAAGCAAGAGATTTGTAATCACTTAGACCTGGGTATAATTATTGACTCATGGGCAAGTTTCTTAATCTCTAAGGGTTTCTTTTTTTTTTTTTTTTAATTTATTTTCTTTCTTTATTTTTGGCTGCGTTGGGTCTTCGTTGCTTCGCGCGGGCTTTCTCTTGTGGTGAGCAGGGGCTACGCTTCGTTGCGGTGGCTTCTCTTGTTGCAGAGCACGGGCTCTAGGTGCATGGGCTTCAGTAGCTGTGGCTCCTGGGCTCTAGAGCACAGGCTCAGTAGTTGTGGCGCACGGGCTTAGTTGCTCCGTGGCATGTGGGATCTTCCCGGACCAGGGCTCGAACCCGTGTCCCCTGCATTGGCAGGCGCATTCTTAACCACTGCGCCACCAGGGAAGCCCTCTAAGGGTTTCCTTATTGTCATTTCTGAAATGGGAATGGCATGTGATTAAATGGGATGATATATACCAAACATCTAGCCCAAGGTTGGGCTCGCTGTGAGCACTCATGTTAGTCCCTCACTCAGTAGTAGATCAGTGTCAGAAAGTCCACGCTGCTGCCTCCTTCCATGGTGACATCTCTGTCACGGTTCATACACTTTGCTTTAAGTCTAGATGTCGTGACTTTCTCATATTCTTGCCTTTGTTGTGGGGAAACCATTACCAAGTGATTAGAATCGGTACTTTGTTAATTCACTCAACAACTGTGCCAGGCACAGCTCTAGGCAGGGGGGCGGGGTGGTGGTGGAAAGTGGTGAACTGAAAATTGTCCGTCTCTCATGGAGTTTATATTCTAATGGCTGTATTAGTTTCCTATTGCTGTTGTAACGAACTACCATTTAGTGGCTTAAAAACAACACAAATTAATTTTCTTACGGTTCTGGAGGTTGGAAGTCTGAAATCGGTTTCTCAGGGTGTCAGCACAGCCGGTTCCTGTTGAGGCTCTGAGGAGAGAAATCTGTTTTGCCTTTTTGGAGGCCACCTGTGTTCCTTGATACACTATTACTCCATTTTCAAAGCTGCCAGTGCAGCCTCTTTGTCTTCACATTGATTACTGTAACGCAGTCTCCCTCTGCCTCCCTCTTAAAAGGATACTTGTGAATAAGTTGGGCCCCGTGGGATAATCCTGGAAAATCTCCCCATCCGCAGATTCTTAAATCACATCTCCAGAAACTCTTTTACAGGTAATGTATTCACAGGATCTGGGGTTTGGACTTCAGTGTTAGGGGACCATTGTTGAGCCTGTCACAGAGTGGGAGACCACAGTAATTCTGTCAGTGATGACTGCTCTGGAGAAAAACTGCTTGGAGAGTGGCTGAGAGGCTGGGTCAGGGTGGCCCCTGGGAGGAGGCATTGAAATGGCGTCTGTTTGTTGTGAGACATTTGCCAGAATACTCGATACAGAGTGAATGTTAAATATTACTGTGGCTCTAAACATTTTAGGCACATGATAGCTGGCAGGTCTAGATGGTTAACCAGAACCTCCCTGGTCCTCCTAGGAGGAAGGTAGTGTAGCAAGCATCTCTACTTCACTGACTGGGCACAAAGACAGTTCTCTGATTTGTATTCACCTCAGTATTACCGTTTGATAGTTTTCACCCAGCACCACCTGTCAGCATTGATTGAAATTTTCCCTAGGCCAGGAGTTGGCAATGTTTTTTCTGCAAAAAGCCAGGTAGTAAATATTTTAAGCTTCGTGAGCCATATGGCCTCTGTTGAAACTAGTCAACTGTGCTCTTGTTGCAAAAACAGAAGCTCTAGACAATATTGAAACAAATGGGCGTGGCTGTTTTCCAATAAAATTTTATTTATGGATACTGAAATTTGGGTTTCTTATAATTTTCATGTATCATTAAGTATTGCTCTTGATTTTTTTTTCCTTTATCATTTAAAAATGTTAAGAAGAACCATTGTTAGCTCAGGGGCTGTGAAAAAAACAAACAAACTACAGGCCTGCTGGGTTTGCCCCTCAGGCTGTAGTTTGCCAGTTCCTGTTATAGGCCCGGGGCCCAGGCTCTTCAGAAGGTCTGTAGTATTTAAACCATCATTTAGTTTTATTTCTTTCATGGCCCATAATCCTCCAAAGCAGAGGCTTGAGGTATATCGCCTAGTGGGTGCCAACGTGCTGGCAACAGCAGTCAGATTTCAAAGGAAACAAGCAGTCAGCAGTTCGTATCGTTTATATAGTCACTGCAGACAAGGAACCCAGGCAGGAGAATTTAAGCAGTTTGCCCAGGATCACATAAGTGACAAAGTCAGGTTCAGATTTGGACTAAATCCAAGCTCCTAACCTATTATGTTACACCCCTGGTACTTTTTCAGTGTTTTCCCACAGTTTTATTTTCAGGGATGAGGAAGCTGAACTGAAGCCCAGCCTCTCAGTATACATAACAGAGTAGGAATTAGCACCCAGGTGTTTTTTATTCTAAGAATATTTTTGAACATCACATGCATGTGGAGTTGGCACTGGTGATGCAGGAATGAGACGATGCTTGTCCTTGTAGAGTTGATGGGATTGCGTGAAGATGCCAGCAGGGGCATCAGAGGAGGATCCAGCCTGCTGGGCACAGTCAAGTAAAGGCTTCCAGCTAAATCTTGAAGGACAGGAAGGCGCGGAACAGTCTTCACTAAGTGCTCTGAGAACCTGTGTTAATACAGTTGCAAGAAACAGGAGAATGTTGTTTGGGAACCTTAGGGAAACAATGGAAGAAACGGGCCTTACGTTGGTGTCTTAGGATGTTGGTAAAAGAGCCTAAAGGAATGCTTTAGAAAGGGTGACATATTTATGTACATTGAATAAAAATAATAAAACATCATGCAGTTGATATACTGGATCAGAATTTGATGGGAAGAGGGCATTTCAGGTGAGAGGCGATGCAGGTTAAGTGCAGGGGACAACATCTGTAAAACACGCCAGAGCTTTTTGACTTAGCCCCTTGGGCAGGCAGGTTCCCTTTTGTAGGAAAGGGAGAATTAGTGACTGAAGGGATTTTTCCTACCAACCACGGTGCCAATATGCTTTACCTCAGGCTCAGCAGTTGGGGGTGGGGGTGGGGGGAATGTTGATTTTACAAAAGGAAAAAACGGACTCCCAAGGATTAGGTGATGAGCCCAAGTCACCTAGCCTTGAGAGTGATAGAGCAAGTATTTTCACCTAGGTCACTTCCACACCAGAGCTCATGTGTAATAGTTAAAAAACAAAAACCTGTGCCCAAAGGATAGGAGTCATGTTTGGGGGAAAAATAAAGATGACTTACTCAGATTTTAAAGAAATCTGAATTGCTTTCAGCATTGTGCCTTTCTGGGGGAGTCTGGAGCACAGTTTTTGCTAGCGGTGGGGTGGAGGAAAGGCATTGAGAGGCAGATGGAAGAATACACAATCTGTAAACCTCACAAACAGCTGCTGGGGGGAGGGGGGTGTATGTTTACACTGCTGTCCTTGGTTCTCAAACTGTGGTCTTCATTCTGCCCACCCCCTTCAGGAAGTCCTTGAGGTCAGAATTATCTTAATACTAAGGTGCTCTTTGCCTTTTTCACTCATTCTCTTGCAAGTCTACCATGGAGTTTTCCAGAGGCTACATGGCAGGCAGAGTGGTGCAACAGACTGAACACAGAAAAGATAGTCATCACAGAGAATTACAGAGATATAAAATAATGCCACTCTTCTCACTAATTAAAAATGTTTTAATCAGTTGTTTATGTTTAACAATGATGTTTGATATTTAAAATTTAAAGATATTTTAATAACTTAAAGTATTTTAATATTTAAGATATTACATTTTTTTTCTTAGTTTCCAATATACTAAGCGCCACATTAACCAAAGCTCTAAATAATTTAAGGTTCTGAAGGGATCCTGAGACTAAGAGTTTGAGAACTCCTGTTCTTTATCAGCTTCTCTGGTCAGTAGTTACCAATATTTCTAGCAGTCGTAATTGGAGAACGCGGGGCATTTTTCTCTTGTGTCTCCTTACCCCATCTGTGTGCGCCTTCCTTACACTGTGGAGGAGAGAGCTGTCTTATATTGTCTATCTTACTTTTATCTCAGATGGGCAACCACTTCCTTGCAGTTGAATGACAGCAACTTCAGTTTTAAGTTGGATTAAAATTTTAAAACATCATGTTTAGTTCTGGGGTCAGCTGAATGCCTCAGTTGCCTGTCTTGCTGATTTTACTTTACAGAACTAAAAATGTTCAGGCTCACTGAGAGCTTTCTTGGTAAAATCTGTGTGCCCGGTTGATATAATTTGATTTAAACTTGAACCATAAGAACCCAGGTCTGATACAAAATTTCAGTACACAACAGATTTTTATAAACATTGGTAGAGGGAGTATGTAGCTTTCCAGCATGACAGTGCATTTTCCTTCTTTTGTTTCAGTAGATGTGTTGGGGGAGGCGGTTATAAGAACAGGTGGTTTTTATTTAGGCAGCCAGTGATTGTGTTTTGGCACCATCTGTGTTAAGTACATGCAGATAAAATGAGGCTGAGATTAAAAATGGTTATTTTTCCAGAAGAACATCTAGCTGCATCTATTTGTTAATTCTTTTCAAACAGCAGGTCAGCCCTTCCGCTCTGAGATCAGCTAGAGAGAGGAACGCTTGTGACCTGAGGCTTATATTGCTCCGTTGATCTGAAGGGCTGTCATTACCAAATTGTTTTTCTCCCCACAGTGCCTTGCATTGGAGGAGCCTCGGCCATAATGCCAGCCAGCCTCTCATGTTAGACCTTTTGTACAGACGGTCAGGGTGATGCAGGCTTGCCCCTGCTGTTGCTGGTTTCCAGGTGCTCTCCCTTCAATCCCTGAGCCATGGTGTGTACCTGCCACGCTGCCCCGGGGGCAGCCACGGTGCCGCGCCTCCTCCACCTTTCCATACTGCACCCCCTTCTACATCCCAAGCATCCAATTCTACTGTTCCTAAGCTCTGCCTTTTGTCCCCCACATCTGATGGTAGGCAGGAGAAAAATGTGCAGTCTGGGCTGGTAAATTTGGGGGCTTTTTTGATTACCAATGTTAAAACTTGACTTAAAAAAGAAAAACATTTTTGTGTGCTTGTTAACAACTTTTCCAATCATTCTCTCATGTTAGCAGATTTTTTTTTTTTTTTTTTTTTTGCCGTACGCGGGCCTCTCACTGTTGTGGCCTTTACCGTTGCGGAGCACAGGCTCCGGACGCGCAGGCTCAGCGCCATGGCTCACGGGACCCAGCCGCTCCGCGGCACGTGGGATCTTCCCAGACCGGGGCACGAACCCACGTCCCCTGCTTTGGCAGGCAGACTCTCAACCACTGCGCCACCAGGGAAGCCCCAGATTTTTAAAATAAGAAATAATTTTAAATATTCACCGAAACAGTGTTCCATGCTAATATGAAATGTAACTAATGTGTTTTAAAACCAGTGGAATCAAAGGATGTTTTAAAATTAAAAGTCTAACGTTTATATTATAAATGCCAAGTACATGGAAACTACTAAATATAGGAGGCTTCATACATAAGCAGATTAAAGAAATGAGCTTTAAGGGTCACTTGTTTATTTATTTAACCCTCTTCCCCCATTTATTTAAAATGTCTTATGAAAGCAGGGACTTTTAACATTTTGTTCAGGTCAGTGTCAATTAGTGATTTTGTTCTGAATTTCTAGATTTTATGCTTTACCTAAACAGTGTAGAAAAAGTTTTAAATATTTGGCTAACCTGTTTCAGTTGCTATTTACCAGGTCCCTATCTTAATCTGTGGCCTTAGCCTACTCATTATTCTACCTTTGACTAGAAAGTGAAAATGATTGCCAAATTGTATTGGGTCTATTAAAAACGTATAGTACCGATGTTTTTAAAACCTAATTTAAAGCCTAGTTTAAAAATTCTAGGAAAAAAGAGCCGATCAAACTTAATTTAGGTCTAAGTTGCTTTGTTGGACCATCAGGGCCTTAGTTTTGTGTACTATGAGGACACTTCAGAGTAGCTGTCTGTGATGTGGAGATGCATTAGGACAGTCCTAACAGAAAGCAGGTTACTGATGACCACTTGAAGGAAGGTTGAACATTTCCATTGCATGCTATGATGTAAATCAATATTTTTCCTTTGCTTTTCTTTGAGGAAAGGTTTTTCACAAAACTTTTCAGACATTGCTGCTTTTAAGTTATTTTTACTTCCATTGTTTTTCTTCTTTAGGCTTATCAGGAGGGCAGACTTCAAAATCTACTGAAAATGAACGGCCCCGAGGATCTCCCCGAGTCCTATGACTATGACCTCATCATCGTTGGAGGGGGCTCAGGAGGACTGGCGGCCGCTAAGGCAAGGCTTCTTGTGTGTTCTGGGATATGGGTAGAATAGTCACATCCCCGACAACATTCTCCAGGTCCCCTGTGGAATTTGAGCTACTCTTGTGATGTTTTATGCGTTAACTTGGGCAGGGAACGTTAAGGACATTTTTCCAGGTTCAGCTGTATATTCTTTGTATAAAAATACTGGGGCCAGTATTCTGGGACACATTTTCATTCATTTTAAGTTTGGTTGATTTTTTTTTTTTTAAGATAATAAGGGGTTTGTATGCAAATGGCTTGAAAAGAAGTAAATATATTTTTATTCTTTATAAATACGATAATTATTAGTTGTTTTCACTTTGATGATTTCCCTAATCACAGAACCTCCTCCCCAATAGAAAGATGGAGAGCAGTTGGATTTCTTAAGCTTAATTACTAAAAGTTTTTGCCTCCCCTGTGTACGAAATGAGGTAAGAGTGTATCCACTAACTCTGTGGCCTGGAGGTGATGGAGTACAGGACGTATAAATACAGGAGATTAGGAGTACGGCTCCTGGCCCTGAATTGAGATACATTTTCCATGTGTGAGGGGCCCTTGTGCCTGTCGTTGTTCCCTATCACCTTGTTTGTTTGTCCTCCTCTAAGGTGTAGCTTGTGGTGAATCAGTAAAGGTAGATTCAAATGAAGCTGTTCAAATTGGGAGCAGGCCAATGTCTGGCATCAAGCATTGCTTTGCTGTAAATGATTCAGGAGTAATCTCAGATTTTTTTTATTCTAGCAGTGGTGGCTTTGAAGACACATAGACTCAGTCCTTTCAAATAAGCTTTGGAGGTCTAGTTGCAAATACACAAAGCTTATTCTCTGAGAAAGATAAAGGATACTCTGCAAAATGAACTTGTGATGGTCGTCACTCCCCTAAAATAGATTCGGAAACCTTAGAGAGATCATCAACTTCTCCACTGGCTCTTCGCGTGAACATTTTAGGAAATCTGACAATTTCAGAAGAAAAACTTTTGCAGTATTCTGTTCAGAAACTGAAGTAGATAAAACTTCGAAGTACTTATAAAAATATTGTCTTACTGGATACAGGTTGAAACAAGGATTGTAGACTATCAGTATATCTGTTTTACTGCCTGTTTACCACTTGCTTAGAAATGGCCACATATTTTTCAGATTATTGCTTACTTTATTATCGTTTGGCTGGAATTACATGATAGGATTCTAGGGATTCCAGCTGACTCTGACGGTTCTGCAACTGTAATCTGCATATTCTTTAAAGCTACCCTTATTGACTAAGTATTGCTTAACTTTTACCTTGGAGTTGCACTAATCGTTTTGGTATATGAAATTCTCAGGTATTAATGATTGGTTATGCTTTAGGCATTATAGCTTAGTAAAAATAACATGGGTTTTCAACAGCCCATTTCCAGTCCATCATGTTAACCATTCCAACTCATTTTAATAATTTTATTTTCCAGGAGGCAGCCAAATATGGCAAGAAGGTGATGGTCCTGGATTTTGTCACTCCAACCCCTCTTGGAACTAGATGGGGTAGGCTTTTAAAATACCTTAGAAGTGACTTTGTAGGAGCAGGTTTTTCCCTGGCACTGGTTTAAATGGCCCCTAATGTCCAATTTTAAAATTAAAAATTAAATAAGCAAAAAGAAAAAAACCCCAAACACGTACTTCTTTCACTTGTGCTAAGTTAAAATGGACTCCAGTTAAATGTTGAAATAGGTAAGTCTTATCAAGATGACTCAGCTGCTTCAAATTAGAAGGAGGCAAGAAGAAGCAGGAAGTCTGGATAAGACAGGGTCACAATTTCTAATTCGTTCATCAAATATTTGTGAAGGTGTCACTTCTGTGTCGGGCACTGTTCTGGTGCTGGGTGTAGTCCCTCTGGCCTGTGGAGCTCACATTCCATAATGACACTCGACTAAGCATTCTCCTGAGAGGGCTTCGATTTCCTTCACTGTGGAGTCCACTGCCATCTTGCAGTCTTACTCATGCCATTTTGGCTACCTCCCCACCTGCCTAACGGAGACAAGTTATCACCATGTTCTTTAAACTCAGGGACACTAAATCTTTACTTTTTTTGGGTGGGGGTGGTGGTGTCATGAATCCTTTGGTGAGAATCAGCGAAGGCTATAGACCGCCTCCGTAAAGAGATGCTCGTATACACCAAACTTTCTGTGTGCTCCCAGGCCCACTGCAGTCCAGCCACGCCCAGCTCAACAACCCCTTTATCAGTTCTACTCATAGGGCTGGTGGCAAGTGTAAGGTTGTACGCAAAGTAAGGCTTCAGTTTCTGGCATTTTTATCAGCAGTCAATTAACTTTGAATCTTTGAAGTATGTGGAAGTTGTGGAAATCTGCTCATTTTCATTTTAGGGTAATGTTGCTGTGTTTGGTCTATAAGGCTCTCTGAACTTAGAAATGTCACGAGACTTAGGAATAAACTCATATAAAAAGTATTGGCTACATTAAGCAAATAAATTATGATGTTTAATACAATAGCACTGGTGCTTGGGGCAGGCCACCCCAAAATACACACAGTGGCATATTGGTTATTTTGAATTAAAGTTACTTAAGAAATGGCCAGTGCAAGAGGGACACTCTGGCTCTCCTTTTTGTCTCTGAAAGCAGGAAATAAGTCATGCGAAAGGTGCACTTCCTGCATCTGGAGGTAGCGAGGCAGCCTTATCACAAAAGATACGGAATTTGGGGCTGAAGAGCCTATTGTACACAAACCTGTCACCTCTTTAATTCGTCCCAAGCCTAAACTCTGTTTAGATGCTTAAATAATTGGGCACCCAAAACCTAAGTTTCTTTGTCCTGTCAATTTCTCACAAATGTGTTGTTTCTTTGTCTAAAAAGTATAAAAACGGCCTGCTTTGGCTACTTCTTAGGTCCCATTTCTATGAAACCTTCATGTGCACAAATTAAAATTTCTTTCTTTTTCTCCTGGGGATCTGTTATGTCAAATTTATTATTAGTCCAACCACAAGAACTCAAGAGGGATAGAAGGGAAATCTCCTCCTCTGTGATGTTAGTAATAATCATTGCCTTTTTTCTTTGGAGGATTGTAATACGGGCTATAAACTGATTTCTCAATGTTGTTGCAGGTCTCGGAGGAACATGTGTGAATGTGGGCTGCATACCTAAAAAACTGATGCACCAAGCAGCTTTGTTAGGACAAGCCCTCCGAGACTCTCGAAACTACGGGTGGAACGTCGAGGAGATAGGTATGTGGGGGAAGCTGCTCTTCCGTTTGTGCTTCTGAGGGGTTCAAGCTGGGATCTGGCAATGCGCCATCCATCTACAAGTAACCCGGAATTCGTCTCTGTTGTTTGTTTTTTTGTTTTTGTTTTTGCGGTACACGGGCCTCTCACTGTTGTGGCCTCTCCTGTTGCGGAGCACAGGCTCCGGACGCGCAGGCTCGGGACGCGCAGGCTCAGCGGCCATGGCTCACGGGCTCAGCCGCTCCGCGGCATGTGGGATCTTCCCGGACCAGGGCACGAACCCGTGTCCCTTGCATCGGCCAGCGGACTCTCAACCACTGTGCCACCAGGGAAGCCCTGTTGTTTGTTTTTTTAATGGATAAAATCACGGGGGTTATCCTGTGTCGTGTTAGCTCTGTAGCTATTATTATGTATGGTAAGAACAGATATTGCACTTGGAGTACCTTTTTATAATAGAAAACCAGAATTCTTTCAAATAAATTCTCATAGTTGTATAGAGTTTCCTAAGGAAGTGCAAACTACATTTGCTTTCCTTTGAAGCTATTACATTTTTCTCTCACCAGAAAAGTCTGTTCCATGAGCTGATATTTGGGGGGATTGTTTGTTGAGAAGGGGGGGTTTTGTTGGATTAAAAATATTTAGACTACCATAGAAACCCTAGAAAAGTTGAACAGGAATCCGTTGACTTTAGAAGGTGTAGATGACATTATCTGTAGAAGAATAAAATGAGGTCTGGCACAGCTTCCTGCCTAATTAATTACGTAGGTCACTATGTCCTTGAAGAGTGAGACTCCAACCCTTATCTGATTTTAGTTCTGAGGGACATTGGAGGGAAAATCTTCTAGCCAGCAGCTAGGGTAAATTGTTTTGTGGCTTTTTCTGAGTTTTAATTAAGAGTTACTAGATACCCATGTGTAAAAGGTATAAACACATGCTTTGAAAATTTTTGCTCTTCCTCTAACCTAGTCATGCTTCCTTTGTTGATGCTTTTAACTTGAAGTTTTCTTATGCTGGGGTCATATCTCTTTCCTCAGACCCTTAGAAGGCTGCTTTCTGTCAGTGACCTTTGGAGGCCTGAGACTGGTACTGAGAGTTTTGTTATTTGGTTCTAAGGTGCCATGCTCCATGTCCTTTTCCCTTGCCCAACAGAAAGGCAGTTGAGCAGACTCTTGACCTATGGAACGTGAATTTAACACTTCATCTGCTGATGGTCCACCTCTGTTTTTCACCTCTACCCTCCCCGCCACCTCCCAAGTTATTTACTCCCGTGTCTGAATGCCCAACTGAGTCTGCTGTTAATCCACTCTTTGCCTTCCTGGGAGCCTACTGTCAATGTACTACCCAGTTAACAACAGAGTCTCTCTTCAGTTAATGTATTAGACTTTTTAGTAGACTTTTTAGAAATCGTACTAGTGAAGTTATATAATATTACTATCGAGTGCTTGTTCTTTGTACTTGAGTCTCTGCTGGGGAAATACACAAATATTTATAAAGATAAATAACACAAATCTGTAGGTACACAGGTTTTGTTATCATTGATGTACCAACTAAGTACCCTGGGAGCCCAGAGGTGGGATCGGTAAATGATTTAAGAGGTGACTGGAGATGACTTTTTAGATGTTGTGTCCTTGACAGCCAGCAGAGGAGGGGAAGGTCAGTTCATTTAGACAGTGAAGGAACGAGGTACATATTTGAAGAATAGTAAATACCCTGGCACCTCTAGAGTAGGGAGCATGTGGGGAACATAAACGAGGACATTTGCTGTGGGCTGAACACCCTGGGTGGTTTGGAACAAGGGTAGGAGGAGGAATGTGGACCAGCTTAGGGAGCTGCACAGTTGTGCTGAGGGCAAGTTGGAACAGATGTTTTGTGATTGTTGGGATAGTAGCGGGAAGAAAATGGGGAGAGGAGATAAAGACCATAGCTGTAGCAGAAAGGAAGCTACCATCTTTCCCCACTACCCACCTCAGCCTCCTGCCAGCCTTATGGATTCATCGAGGTCCTGCAGGACAGGAGTCGTGATTAAAGTCAGATCATCTCATTTTCCTCTTTATTCTCCATTCCATCTTTTTTTTTTAAGATTAAAAATATTTTATTTAAACTTTTCTTCATAAACACTTTTAACATTTTTTTTCAATTTAAAAACAGAATGGATAGCATAAACATGTTTTGAATAGATTATATTCACGGCTTGGGAAAAATTACCTGACAAAAATGTAAAGACTTCCAAAACAGGTATAAAAGGCAAACCTTAAATTATTCTAAGATTTTTAAATCGGCCCTAGGATTATTTGACTACTGGCCCAAAATGTACCTAAAGGTCAAAATATTTTTTCTATAGACAAAATGTGCCCAAGGGGTATAGGGCATATACAAGTTAGATAGAAAATAACCTCTCTGATCACCTCACTGGAACATTCCTTCAGAAAGCAAACACCTAATCCTTACTGATATACTGATTAATAAGGTTTTTAATGTAGTTGTTCCCAAAGATGTAAAAAGAAAATCTAAGAACATTAAGGAGGAACAAACAAAGCTGACAGCATTCTCTCAATGTTACTCGTGTAATATTGAAGTTATACTGGTATACTGAAAGGAAACGACTTCCATGAGTTTACCTATTCCAGTCTATGTCTATTGAATATTTGACTTTATAAACTCTTGATAAACTAGTTTTTCAGAACTTTCATTTTTAAGATAAATCTCTTTTTAGAAGATATTTATCCCCAAACCAACTCTAATCTGATAGAATGTATGATCCCTAAAAATGTTCAGAGTACAAAAAAAAATGTATAATAGGCAAACAGGAAAAATGGCACGAGCAGTTTTACTGCCACATAGCCCTCATTTATATCTAATTTACACTATTATCTATGTTGTTTTACTTCAGTCTAAAATTTTAAATTACGTATTCTCAAAAGAGCTAGTCTTTTCTGAGAGATAGCTTATAAACTGAAATAACAATTTATATTATAAACTGAAATGTTATGACCTACAACCACATATACATATATAAAAATAGTCCCACTGAACGTTTGACATGTTTAGATAATGTAGCTCAAATAATTTGTTATAAAATATTTTAAAGCTTAGTTTCATGTAATCAAGAGGAAACCATTTTTACCACTTCTCCCCACACAAATGTGTGTCCTTTACTATGACTCGAGCAGGCTTCCCAGAATGAGGTGTCCAGAGGTGCTGCTTTAGAAAAGATAAGTGAAGGGCTCAGTCAATATTTCACAAATTATAGTAACACTCACACAGAGTAATGAGGACACAGAGAAAGCTGTCTCAAGAAAAGCTAATAATTCTATTAATTAAGCTTTACTTTTTAAAAACCAGTAGTATTTCTTCCAATACAAAACCTTCAACGTGAGAATCTTGAATTTTATGAAAAGGTTGTAGTGCAAGGATTTTCTTTAAGCAGATTAAAATAAAAACTTAGAAGGTCAAAGACATGGAAGAGAACAAACGTTTCTAATTAAGATGCAATTAACAAAAATCAGCTATTTTTGTAAAGTCTGGCATTTAAAATGTAAAGTGAAAATTAACACACAAAGATCACAGCAATTACACTGTATAGTTTTAAATCTTACTGAATTAAAAAAAAACTATTTTGAGCACATATAATGTATATAAACAAAAATGGTTCCAAATGAAGCACACAAAAAATAAACTTGAAAAAAATTCTATGAAAAAATTTTCCATAGTTTAGTATAACAAAAATAAATCTCTTTCAGCAATTAAACCATAATTTAAAAAGGGAATGTAAGTTAATCATGGATTTAAAATAAGCTAAATTAGCACTACATATAAACAGAAGAGTTTTCTCATACATTCAGAACCCAAGCAATAACAACTATTCTTAAAGCTCAAAACTGATTACAGCTGACATCAGGTCAGACATGACTTACGTGTGAAGCTAAACCCAGAGTTAGTTCAAGTTAAAAGATTTCACAAATTTTCCAAAACATGAACTTTGATCTTGGCCTTGTGTTTTTACAATGAAGACCAAGAATATTCAATTGTTTGCCCAGATCTTTCTTTAACTAGGACTACGAAGTCATATCTAAGCAATTAAAGAGAACCACCACTGGAGTGTAAAAGCCTGATGGGGTTCCCTGTCTCTGTCTTTTCCAGCAAAAGACAACAATGAGGAAAATAATGAAGACGTTACTGTTATTTTCTTTAAAGCAAGACGGCACACATATAAAACACTAAGCCAACTAATACATTAGAAAAAGAATTAAACGGCTAATCTAACTCCTAGTTTTCAAAAGTAAAATGACTAAAAATGATTTTTAAGATGTAGAAAAAGACTTTTACCCATATTACCATGGGAAACAGGATACTGAATTTCGTTTTTAGAAACTGAAAGTAAATGATAGGACCACTTAATAAAAATTGAAGTCTCATATACAAAAGAATATTAAGTTGATTTCTAAAGCCAATCCCAATGTTTCACTTTTTAAAAAACTACTTACGTACCTGACTGTTTCTAGCCTCCAGTTGTAGAGTTTTAAAATCAGGTTTTTTTCATAGTTGTCTATTTTAATTGCAAAAATGAAACAAGTCTTCACATTTCCATGATTTCACTCTTCCATTTTATATTCAGTGGCGGCAGCAGCAAAAAAAAAAAAAAAGTAAAACTAGAAAATTTACACAACAGCCATATAGAAGGCATTGCAATATTGCACCAATATCCTAAGATCTGGCAAGTTCTGCCAGTGTAGATCTAGTCTGTATCATATATAGAGTCTACTCAGAAGAAAATGGCATCAGTTTGGATGATCCACTCCCTGGTTATTCTTGCTTAATTTTGACAACTATATGCTTTTTCTTCGAGTTTAAAGAGTTGAAAGGTGCGGCTAATCCTAAAACACTTATTATAAATGCTTTTAAACAGTTATTCTTGATCCATTCTGAACTTTGAGGTTACTGTCTCTCATGCTAGTAGCTTTCAGTAAATAAAACAAAAGCTGAGGGCTTTCATCCCCAGTGCCACTAAATATTTTGTACTAAATAAACAAGTAGATACGACCAGTTAAGATTATAATTCTATTCCTTACCTCTAAGTCAAAACTGAGCTCAAATTGTCCACAAGTTGCTACTTTCCATTCAATAACAGATGCAGCAGCCTTATTGAATGTAAAGAATGGGAGTTGCACTTACTTTTAAGGGGCCTTTATTTAGGACTCTGGTATTACCTAAATTCTCTTTAAAAGTGCTTGCACGCTGCAGGGCCAGGGCTTGCCATATACCACTCCGATGCTCACTAAAAACAGGGTAACATTAAACAGACTGCAAAGAAAAACATTTTCAAAAAGAAGACATACATTGATAAGCAACACTAACGTTTACTTTTGAAAATAAAACATAAAATGTTAGTTTTCATAAAACCATACATGTTTCAGGAATATAAGGAGTTTGAGTATTACTGAATCAGTATGGACTGAAGATAGGCTACTCTGATACCAAACGAGGACTCCAGTTATTTTAACTTTCTAAAAATGTTAATACATGAAAAGACGTTACATCTAGAATACAACAAGTATGGCAAACCGTGTGTGCAAGTGCACTAGCTTAAAAATATAGAATCCTAACCACGCATAAAAGGGGATGTGCCTTATATATTCATAAGATGTAAGCAAGTGTGGCTATGCTTTCACTAACACAATGCAGATAAGAGAAGGCAGCTTAGAAATAGTGTTCTGAATATAAAAAAGTTAAATTTGTAGAAAATTTATATTTTTGCATTTTCAGCAAAAAGCCATGCAAAAAGGTCAAGAGTTTTAAACTTAAAAAATAAAATCAAAAAGTCTAACAGACTGCAATACACCGAAATAAATGTTCAGAAAGATTTCAGATAGAGATAGGAACTGAAATTACATCCAGTGACACTTATCAGGTCTTCTCTTAGAAGACGCCTGACTCCTACACTGACATTTGAAAGAAATGTTTAAAGCATAACATCAACTTCCCAGATAAGTGAATCGTTCTATTAAACTGCTTCTGGAAGTAGTTTCAAGAGCTAGTGCTTAGAATTGACTTATTGCATGAATTTGAGACCACTAAAAAGAATAAAAAGGATGCGAGAACAGAATGAAAACATTTTCATGTATTAGACCAATGGCTTTGATAGTAAAACTAGTGGGGTTCTTCTTTATGTTTTTTAATTAACTACTTTGTCGCAAACAAATTTTTTGTTTGGCTTTATTGAAGGGAGAAAAATGCCATTAGTTGCAACGTCTGACCTCGTCCAGTATATATTCTGGAAAATGTAGGTTGCATACTTGTAAACCATCCAGCTTGCAGGGCAACCGCGGGTACTCATCTTCCTTCCATTTGTTTTCATCCGGATCAAAAGTGAGAATAGAATCGCTGTAATGACCATTGTAGCAAAGGCCTCCAAGAACCATTATCTGTTTGTCCAGCACAGTCACACCATGGCCACTTCTACCAATTGGCATGGACGCCAAGATGGTCCACTGATCAGTCTCTGGGTTGTACACTTCTGTGGAAGGGCATCCCTGAGACTCAAAAGAGGCCCTCAAGATCACACAGACACCACCGAAGACATAAAGCTTGCCGTTGTAAGAAATCATCTTGTGAAAACATCTAGCGTAATTCATTTTGCTCTTATTCTCCCAACAGTTGGTAACTACTTGAGTTCTCCTTGTCCGCTGTTCTATGGTCCCTTCTTTACTGGGGTCAAACACGCACACTTGTTTGGAGGTGGAAGATGAGGTGATTCCACCAGTGATAAACAACTTGTTATTGAGCACTGTCCCCTCATGTCCATACTTGTTAACTGGATAAGGATCCACAAATTCCCATTTATCATTGGTGATATCATATCTCTCTGTTGAATAGAAAGTCTCATCTCTGGTTCTGCCTGCTACAGCATAAATAAACTTTCCAGTAACACCAACTGCAAATTCTGAACGTGGTACAGACATGTCTGCCATCCGGAGCCAAGAGTTTTGTCTCGGATCATACCTGAACACTTTGGAAGAAGCATGGAATTTGCCGTCTGGGCCCAGTTCTTCCCCACCCAACAAGAACACGAAGTTATTCACGATAGCAAGGCAGTCCGGACGCAGAGGTACTTGTGGGCCCTCCAGTTCCCACCAGACTCTTGGTTTCTTTAAGAGAAGTATTTTACTGTTAACCATGCTATGTCCAGTCATGCCTCGGAATACTGTAGTTTGGGGTTTGGCAGAGCGGATGCGGCTTGATTTCATGTCCAACAGAGGCTGCTGGTGAACGTTCTGAAAGTAATTCAAGGCTTGGTCAACTTCATAGCGCAGCTGTCGGGAGTATCTATAAAATTCTGATGTCTTAACCTGATGTTCTGAATGATGGTATCGGTATGTCTCCAGCGTCTTCTATCATGCCACAGCCAAGACTGCACAGCCTCGTACAGCTCTGTCTCTGGGAACCTGCTCAGATGATCATTATCCAAGTAAGACATGAGCTTCTCAAAGCTCAGATAAGACAGGAAGTCAGGCCTGGACATGAGTGGTACGAAGTTGTCTAGCAGAAAGGCGTCCAACTTCTCCCTGACTCCCTCGATGTTTACACCGAAATCATCTAAGAGTCTCATAATTTCTGCACAGTTTTCTAAGCAGATTTTTGCTAATAGAAAAGAGCAGCAGAACTTCACCACTTCTCTAAGTTGAACATACATGGCAGCCTGAAGAATATCATGAACAGTACTCATACTCAGTTCTATAGTTCCATAATACATAAACTGAAGGACGTGGCTGAAACCAGTAGCAGTTAGACCTTTTAAATGAATTTTGTCCTGATCTCGCTCCCTCATATCTGCGGTAAACATAATTCTGAAGTAATCACTCTGGGTGGCCAAGAGTGCTTTATGGGCCTGGAACTGATGATCTTCAATAACCAGAGTGACATCAAGAAGCAATCCCTCCTCATACAGTGCTCTGAACCCAGCAGAGACCCTGGTGTCATGGATGGAGAAACAGAATCCTTCCACGTCCCCTGCCATGAATCACCTAACACAGCAAAGTATGCACAAGATGAAATTAATATCATAATTTTTATCAGCACTCCATTAATCCAAAAGCTATATACTTTCATTTTGGAAAGGTAGAACACAAAAGCGCTGTAAATGAACATGTGAAACAAAACCAACTTGTTCACAATCCATACCCTGGAAGCTCGGGGGTCCGTCCAGCCTCTAGTGGACGGCAGTCTGCATCAGGAATAAGCGGGCCGGACGGTGGGCGGTCGGGCCCCGGGACGGCACTCAGCTGGCTCCTCGAACGTCTATAAGGGGCCGCTCCAGCGGGGGGCGAGTCTGCGCGCCTGCGGCCCCCACGAAACCAGTCCTGGGAAAGAAGACAGCACTGAGACGCGATTCGAGACAGTCGGGATCTGCGCGAGGCGGAGCGGCGTCGGGGCCGGGCCCGGCCTTGCCAACACCAGGGGCCTCGCAGCACCCGGCGGGGGTCGGCGGTAGGGCTGACTCGGGACCTTGGGCAGAGAGAAGGGCTGGGGGGTCGCGGGCAGCAGCAGAGGTGCAGGCACTGGCGACGTCGACGACGGCGTCTCTGGGCTTCTCTCTCCATTCCATCTTATTCCAGTACATATGTAAACCTGCTGTCCCTGGAGGGAGATCCCATTGTTCCATTTGGCAGACGAGGAGACTGAAGCTCTAGGGGGTGGGGTAGTGCGCCCATGTCATAGCTGAGAAATTGGCAGCACTAAGGTTTAGACTGAAGCCTTACTGACTTCACAGCAGATGGAGTGTACACAAGTGGTGTTCTTTAAGCCCTCGTGGCTTCAGTGGCAATTCCTCTGTAGGACCAAAGTTTTAGGAGCTGTTGTAGTGGCAGGTACTTTCAGAGCTTTTGACATGGCTCTGTGTTTACCTCTCCTCACCATGGTCCCCCCAAAAGGGGCAAGTTCTATATGTGGTCTGTAGGCCATACTCCTCTGGGTCTTTGGGAGGAAAACCTAAGAACCACTCATTTTATTTTCTAACCACTCTCATAAGATCTGTGATCCGTCTCAGCCCCATCATTCCACACATACTCTTTTTACCAGTATTCTCAGTGAGACTTCTTTCCCCAGAGCACCTAGGGTTAAGATCCTTCCTTTGCCCCATTAAAGTGTAGGTTGTTAGCGTAGACAGACTTGGGCACTAGTGCTGACTCTGCTGTGTACTACCTGTGTGGTGAGGATTAAATTCAACAGTGTGATTAAAATACTTGCCACTCAGTGAATGTTAGTTTCTGTCCCTTCCTCCTGGACTTGCTTCTTGTAACTCTTCCCTGTTCAGAGCGTCAGTAGATTGGAGCAGACTCCGCCAAGCACTTTTCTTGGCTCTTTGTTTAATGGGTTGTAGGAAACATTTGTGGATCTTACAGGAAGTTGTATATTTGAACAGTTTATTTCCCGCTTAAAGAGAAGGACATGTAACAAGAATACTAATCTGAAAAAGTCTAGTATTTATTGGGAAAAATAAGGTTGTTCCAAGCAAATTTTGATCTGTGCTGTAATAATTTCCATATAGTGTCTTCTTCATAGTGAATGCCACTGGCCCTTAAATCTCAATCAGTAACAGTTCTGGAGAGCTATAACTCAGAGTCATGAAAATGTTATTCATTCATATAAGGTCTAGTACTCAAATTGGTATGTAGAAGTAGTGGATGTTAGCTTCAAAACTGTCAACTCTTATGAAAAATGAAGTAGGTGGAACAGAATACTTAGTGTGGTTAGAAATGTAGGAAAGTACATATAATGGGTCTTTAGAATCTTTAAGAGATAAGTATAGGCGTGTGCCAAATGAATTTTATTAACAGGGTCAACAAAGTATAATTCTAATAAATTCAGTAATCAGGTGGGTGGTAAAATATAACTTGAGGAATTGACGAACCTTCTTTCCAGCAACAGAATATATAGGTAGCTGTCACGTAGCAATAGTAACTCCTTTACTTATTTATGTTGAACTTATTTCTAAATTATATGATGAGGAACTAATAAGTGTACAAAGACGAGGCAATAAAGAAGCCACTACCAGCACAGTCCAGATCTGCACATTAAAGCCAGCAGAAGCTCCTGAATTCCGTGGGGTTTTAAAACTTGAACCAAATCAAAGTTACGTTATTTTTCTATCCCTACAGAAATTATTTATTCCACTAATTTAACAGTTTTAGTTAGCTCTTTGGTGTTTCTTCCCCTTTTCCAGATTTTAAGGTAGAAGCATATAACTTTGTATACCTCCCACCCTTGTATGCCTTTGTCAGCAGCAGCAATCCCAGAGTCTTTGACGCGAGCTGTTTGAAGAGCTGTGCCTACTGTTTAAATCCCCTCACTCTTCCTAAATGGAAGCCTGGTGGTTCACTTACTGTCATCTTCAGCTTTTCTCATTAAGCCTCAGGAGCAGGCTGTGGCCTGGTTGTGGGAACCAGAGCTGGGCGTCACGGGAGTGGCCTGCTGTGCCTGCCGGGGCCAACACCAAGGGAGAGGGAGCCCACCAACTGGGGGAGCAGTTGTTGCCTCCCTCCTTTTGTGCTAAAACGCTTGTGGTGAAGAATACAGTGGATTTAGACAAACATCACTTCGTCATTAGATCTTCGAGGAAGAAGGAAACTTGGAGGTGTATTTTTCAAATGAGAAACCCCTAGAGGCTGCTGGTCCGTGTTCCCAAGAGGTGAAGCATGAAGGCTTATTTTGCATTTTTCAGAAAGAAACACATCTAATCTCATGTCCTGGACCAAAGAACAGCACTCCCGTTTTCTTGGAAGACTGCCCTCTCTGACACTGCAAATAGTTCTGAGCGTGGTGAAGGAGGAAGGGCCCTTTGGACCTGGACCAGGCAGCACAGCTGAATCTGCCTGGTGATGGGGTTGGGGCGGGGGGGGTGACATATCCAGGACTCAGCCTGTGATCTGCTCTTTTCCTAAAAGCTCCAAGCTGAGACTGTGCCGAGAAAAGAATTATGTGAGCTCAGTCATGTAAACTGGATGAATCGGAACTTTCTGAAAGATTTACTGGCTTCATATTTTTTTCAGATTTATATGTTTGAGTTCTCTTGTGCTCAGGAATTAAGTGTGCCTTTAAAAAATTAAGGATTGTGAAGTTTTAGGATCCCAGAGAAAGCAAGGTCATTGGTTTGCAGTTGGGGGCTTGCAGAATTTCTGGATGTACGTATTCTCCTACCACACACCTGAGGGTTCACATACATGTCTGTGCTGCCATGAGTTTATGTGTGGCCCTGGGCAGGTCACCCATCCTTCATTTCCCTGTGTATATACTGGAAGGAATTTGTGCCCCTTCAGGGACTTTGAGGTGCAAGTGAGCAGGTGAGGCGAAGATGTAAGGATGCTAGTAGTTTGATTAGTATTGTCGAACCCAGGGGTGTACAGTAGGAGGGGGGCGGATCCGGGGCATCCGAGAGTTGGCTTTAAGACCCAGTTGCTGAGGTTGGCGTAAGGGCACACCCAGGTGAAATACAGGTCCTGCCTCGCCAGCTAGAACCCGCATCGCAGAGGCTCAGTGTTGGATTACAGCTGGTAGACCAAGCAGCAGAGTCAGGAGGCCTAGGGGAAATGCTGGGCCATGCCAGTGGATGGGCTGAGTGCGGTTGGGGAGCATCCAGGTGGTATTTGGGAATGCAGGAAGGCAGTGGACTTGGGGCATTACTGGAAGGCAGGGCAGCCCTAGAGAACTGGGGTTCTGGGCATGTAATCAGTCCAACAAGGATCCATTTACTACCGGCAGGATGTAAAGTAGGAATTTGGATTTTATAAGACAGAAACTCAGTTCCCAGAATGGAATGCAAGACCCAGGACCATAGGAGCAGGTGGAGGACCTTGGTGCTGAATCCTAAACTGATGAGCTGCAGCTTTTATTTTTTTTAATTAATTAATTAATTTGTTTATTTTTGGCCGCGTTGGGTCTTTGTTGGTGCTTGCGGGCTTTCTCTAGTTGCGGCGAGCGGGGGCTGCACTTCGTTGTGGTGTGCAGGCTTCTCATTGCGGTGGCTTCTCTTTCTTGTGGAGCACGGGCTCTAGGTGCGCGGGCTTCACTAGCTGTGGCTCTCGGGCTCTAGAGCCACAGGCTCAGTAGTTGGGGCGCACAGGCTTTGTTTCTCCGTGGCATGTGAGATCTTCCTGGACCAGGGCTTGAACCCGTGTCCCCTGCACTGGCAGGCAGACTCCCAACCACTGTGCCACCAGGGAAGTCCCTGGCAGGCGGATTCTTAACCACTAGTAGGCTGCAGTTTTTAAATTTCTTCTGCCTGAGCATAACCACACTAGAGATTGGTGCCTGCCTACTGTACCAGAGGATGAAGGAACTTTGGTAGAGAAAGGGGGTTTAAGGAGTTTGGAAATCAGGTGGGGCCTGACAGTTACAAAGGAAGGCTTTAACAACAGAATTAAGGTTGAATTAGGTCTGATCATTGAATCTGAATTTCTGTCGTTGAAATAATTTATTGGTACTATTATTTAGTCCCAGCTATGTCTTCTTTTAGAATATGGTATCTCCTGTAGGATTAGCAGAGTAGAATCCACTTAGTGCTTCTACCACTGTAAAGTTTCAGAAATTAATCTGGCCTTTGATCTGTTGTTTCTCCCTGGGGCTTTATTGGCACATTGCACTGGACAGTTCCTAATTGTAAGGAACTGTAGCGGAGGATAGCATCACTGGCCCTTGGGCATCCCTAATTCACAGTGATAGCCAAAGCCACCACCAAAAATGATGTCTGGGATTTGCTTAAAATATTTTAGTAAAAAGACGTATATGTAATGAGATTGGTAAAATGTTGATAATTGTTGCAGCTAGTTGATTGGCAAGTGGGAGTGAGTTACACTGTTCTGTTCCATTCCTGGTGGGGAAACAGTGAGTCCTGCCTCCTCTTTTTTTTTTTTTTTTTTTTCCGGTACGTGGGCCTCTCACTGTTGTGGCCTCTCCCGTTGCGGAGCACAGACTCCGGACACACAGGCCCAGCGTCCATGGCTCACGGGCCTAGCTGCTCCGTGGCATGTGGGATCCTCTCGGACCGGGGCACGAACCCGTGTCCCCTGCATCGGCAGGCGGACCCTCAACCACTGCGCCACCAGGGAAGCCCCTGCCTCCGCTTTTTATAGTGGTGGTGGACGGACACCGGATGGACAGGCTGGTTGAGGCTCCCTGCAGAATCCCTCACGCCCCAGCACGTAATCCTCCTGGCCTCATGACCACATGGCCTCCAAGGTCCCTTTTTTTTTCTCCCCAGCTGAACTGATCTCTGAAGGTTTGCTCCAGTTCTGACATTTTATGGTTCTATTAATTGAATCTTTATAATCTGTGCTCTGGGAGGCCACAAGCCAATTTTTGTGCTGTCATTCCTACTTCCAGCGGCTGGCCACTGGTACTCATAGAATTGATTGCATCGCTTCCTGCCTGACCAAGCTACTTAGCCCTGACTCTAAGACTCAGATGCTCATTTCTGTGACAGAGGCTTTCAATGCATGTTGATTCTCTTCTCCTTCCTTCCAAACCACAGCTTCCCCAGAACCTGCCTTCTTCTACCACCCGAGTATATTTTACCCGTATCTTTTTTTTTTTCATCATCATTGTTGAAGTTAGTAATGAATGAATGACAGGATTGATTTTTATCCATTGAAATTCAATATTATATTAGTGCCTTGGCTCAAAGGATTCATTTTATGGTAGAATTTTAAAACTCCAAACTTTTTCTGTAAAGGGCCAGATAGTAAATATTTTAGGCTTTGTGGGCCATCTGGCTTATGTCACAACTGCTCACCTCTGCAGTTGTTGCATGAAGGCAGCCCTGGACAATACGGAAATAAATGATCGTGGCTGGATTTCAGTAAAGCTTTATTTACAGAAAAGGTGATTGGCTGAATTTGACTGGTGGGGCCTTAATTTGCCAGCCCCCTGGTCTAGACACTGTTAACCAGTTTGGTAACTCCAAATCTGGCTACACCAGAATCTCTTAGAGATTGTTACACATTCAGAATCTTAGGAATCTTAGGTTCTCAAGAACCTAAGTACCTTGTTACCCCAGCAGTCAGTGTTCACAGTCCAAGGTACAATTCCCAATTCCCATTTATCCCCCTAGATAAAGAAGAAAAAGCTTTCGGTATGGTTATTTTAGTCTTAAGAACTGCCAGAGATTCTGCACTATTTAATTGTCTGGTAGTTTTCTAAAAGGGAAAAATAGTTGAAAAGATTGTTTATGTGCTTGAAATGAAGGACTTGCCCTTTTAGACTAAATAGTTACCGGGAAATGATATTTACCAGGTGGCAGCAGAAAAGCTAAACATTTTGTCTTACTCTCTCGTGCAGTGAAACATGACTGGGAGAGAATGACAGAAGCTGTCCAGAATCACATTGGCTCTCTGAACTGGGGCTACCGTGTGGCTCTGCGGGAGAAAAAGGTCACCTATGAGAACGCATACGGGCAGTTTGTTGGGCCTCATAGGATTAAGGTAACCATGTGACAGTGTATGTAGCTGTTTTTGGTGTGTTTTTAAGCTTTTGTTGGGGGAGGAAAAGAGAAGGTGATTATCCTAAAAAATGATGGCCACTGTGACCCAGACCGTCCAGTTTGGTGATTTTGCAATTACTTCTTAGGGACTTTCTCTTGTGGTGTAGTAAAGGGTAATCTGGATTTGGGGCCACATTAGCTGGATTTGAGTCTTGGCTCTGTCGCTTCCTAGCATTGGGACTTTGAGCGATCCCTTAACTACTCAGAGTCTTAGTATCTCTTTCTTACTGCATTAGCAAATTTTTATGAAGATCAAATTGGGCAATGTGGTATAACAGCCTTTTTAATTATAACGTTTACAATTCTAAAGGATAATAATTTATTAAGAATTGATATATTGGTTCCTTCGTAGGCAACAAACAACAAAGGCAAAGAGAAGATTTATTCTGCAGAGAGATTTCTCATTGCCACTGGTGAAAGGCCACGTTATTTGGGCATCCCTGGTGACAAAGAATACTGCATCAGCAGGTAAGGACAAATTGCAGGGAGAAAAGGGGATTTTTGCTTTTTCTTCAAACCCATTTAATCCTTTTCCTGAAACTTAGTTTTTCCACCACATTTTTGTCCAGAGGGACAGGGAATTAGGAAAAGGAGAAAGGAAAAACTATTTTAAACCAGAGAACACTAAAATTCAGAACTATAAACATTGGTCATCTTATCACCAAGAGTTAATATCGCTGCTAACATATAGATACATGCTTACAATATTTATATTTGAAATTTATATTTGTGTGAGTATATGTTATACGTGTATACTATATAAAACCAGATGGATATTCACATTTTATAAAATAATTGATAGATACGTTTTTGTTTTTCCAAAACTAGAATCATATATTACCTTTATGTAGATGCTAAAAAAATTAGAGGATAGCAGGCCATTTAGGTTTCTCAGATCCTAGTTTTTCCTTACTCCTTTGCCATTTGTATGGTTGCGTTGTCAGTGTAGAGGGACCTTCTGAAATCAGTGAGTCAAGCAGGAAGGTTTTGCTGTGTGGTTTATTTTTGTCCATCAAGTGATAATAATGGTGACATTATTGTTCAGGAGTTTTGAATTATGAAGTCATTAAGACATTGTTGATAAGTATGTCTTCTTGGATGCTTTTTGCCCAGGACTTTCTGGTTTTCTGATGGTGTTATAAATTACTTGTTTTCAGGCTTTTTTTTTTTTTTTTTTTTTTTCAGGCTTTTTTTTTCTTTTGTAATAGGAGTTTATCCTTTGAGCCTCATCGGGGGCAGCTCAGATGAGAACTCTTGTCATTGCTGTCTTGGATGGGCTCCCTTCTCATATTTTAAAAAACTCATCTCCCAACAATGCTTTTATGATCTCTTATGTCTTGTATCTTCCTCATTCTGCTAGAAGATTCTGTCAGGTTTTACTTTTTTTTTTTTTTAACATCTTTATTGGGGTATAATTGCTTTACAATGGTGTGTTAGTTTCTGCTTTATAACAAAGTGAATCAGTTATACATATACATATGTTCCCATATGTCTTCCCTCTTGCGTCTCCCTCCCTCCCACCCTCCCTATCCCACCCCTCCAGGCTGTCACAAAGCACCGAGCCAATATCCCTGTGCCATGCGGCTGCTTCCCACTAGCTATCTACCTTACTACGTTTGTTAGTGTGTATATGTCCATGACTCTCTCTCGCCCTGTCACAGCTCACCCTTCCCCCTCCCCATAACCTCAAGTCCTTTCTCTAGTAGGTCTGCATCTTTATTCCTGCCTTACCCCTAGGTTCTTCATGACATTTTTTTTTCCTTAAATTCCATATATATGTGTTAGCATACGGTATTTGCTTTCTCTTTCTGACTTACTTCACTCTGTATGGCAGACTCTAGGTCTATCCACCTCATTACAAATAGCTCAATTTCGTTTCTTTTTATGGCTGAGTAATATTCCATTGTATATATGTGCCACATCTTCTTTATCCATTCATCCGATGATGGGCACTTAGGTTGTTTCCATCTCCGGGCTATTGTAAATAGAGCTGCAATGAACATTTTGGTACATGACTCTTTTTGAATTATGGTTTTCTCAGGGTATATGCCCAGTAGTGGGATGGCTGGGTCATATGGTAGTTCTATTTGTAGTTTTTTAAGGAACCTCCATACTGTTCTCCATAGTGGCTGAACCAATTCACATTCCCACTAGCAGTGCAAGAGTGTTCCCTTTTCTCCACACCCTCTCCAGCATTTATTGTTTCTAGATTTTTTGATGATGGCCATTCTGACTGGTATGAGATGATATCTCATTGTAGTTTTGATTTGCATTTCTCTAATGATTAGTGATGTTGAGCATTCTTTCATGTGTTTGTTGGCAGTCTGTATATCTTCTTTGGAGAAATGTCTATTTAGGTCTTCTGCCCATTTTTGGATTGGGTTGTTTGTTTTTTTGTTATTGAGCTGCATGAGCTGCTTGTAAATTTTGGAGATTAATCCTTTGTCAGTTGCTTCATTTGCAAATTTTTTCTCCCATTCTGAGGGTTGTCTTTTGGTCTTGTTTATGGTTTCCTTCGCTGTGCAAAAGCTTTGAAGTTTCATTAGGTCCCATTTGTTTATTTTTGTTTTTTTATTTCCATTACTCTAGGAGGTGGGTCAGAAAGGATCTTGCTGTGATTTATGTCATAGAGTGTTCTGCCTATGTTTTCCTCTAAGAGTTTGATAGTTTCTGGCCTTACATTTAGGTCTTTAATCCATTTTGAGCTTATTTTTGTGTATGGTGTTAGGGAGTGATCTAATCTCCTACTTTTACATGTACCTGTCCAGTTTTCCCAGCACCACTTATTGAAGAGGCTGTCCTTTCTCCACTGTACATTCCTGCCACCTTTATCAAAGATAAGGTGTCCATATGTGCGTGGATTTATCTCTGGGCTTTCTATCCTGTTCCATTGATCTATCTTTCTATTTTTGTGCCAGGACCACACTGTCTTGATTACTGTAGCTTTGTAGTATAGTCTGAAGTCAGGGAGCCTGATTCCTTCAGCTCCTTTTTTCATTCTCAAGATTGCTTGGCTATTCGGGGTCTTTTGTGTTTCCATACAAATTGCGAAATTTTTTGTTCTAGTTCTGTGAAAAATGCCAGTGGTAGTTTGATAGGGATTGCATTGAATCTATAGATTGCTTTGGGTAGTAGAGTCATTTTCACAATGTTGATTCTTCCAATCCAAGAACATGGTCTATCTCTCCATCTATTTGTATCATCTTTAATTTCTTTCATTAGTGTCTTTTTATAGTTGGTTTTCATATTATAAAACCCATATGTTGAAAGTTTTCCCCACCCCTCTCCCCACTCTTTTTTTTTTTTTTAATATTTATTTATTTGGCTGTGCTGGGTCTTAGTTGCTGCATGTGGGATCTTTTAGATGCAGCATGCGGGATCTAGTTCCCTGACCAGGGATCGAACCTGGTCCCCCTACATTGGGAGTGTGGAGTCTTAACCGCTGGACCAGCAGGGAAGTCCCTCTCTCCCCCACTTGATAATTGGTGTTGTAGGTGAGGGGAAGTAACACCGGGTTTGTACCTCAGGGAGAGCTGAGTGGTGGGAGGAGGGTGGGAGTTTGGGTTTGCAAATGTATGGTTGTAAACACGTAAGTGGAGAATTATTCTGGATAGTACAGAATAAATGTGTTTGACTGGGAGTTGGGCTAATGTCAGCGTTGTATGGTTTACTGTGCTCAGCCATGGTAGCTCGAGCTGCTTCCAGAGCAGCTAAGTGGCAAGAAAGGAGAGTGTCTAAGACCTTATAAAATCTTCTCAAATATTATGTGTGTAGCTAATTGAATGTTTTTAATTTTAAAAGTGTCTTGTTCTTAGGAAAGTAAAAAGGTCTACTTTGATATGGTCATTATTCACATGTGAACATTTTTCTCTTCTTTCTTTTCTTCCTTTTAAAAAAAAAATTTTCTTTTTCAGTGATGATCTGTTCTCTTTACCCTATTGCCCGGGTAAGACCCTGGTGGTTGGAGCATCCTACGTTGCTTTGGAATGTGCTGGATTTCTTGCTGGCATTGGTTTAGATGTCACTGTTATGGTACGGTCCATTCTCCTAAGAGGATTTGACCAGGACATGGCCAACAAAATCGGTGAACATATGGAAGAACATGGTATCAAGTTTATAAGACAGTTTGTACCAATAAAAGTAAGTGGGGTTGCCTATATGTTTGTTGATTCTATACTCATGTTAAAAGGCAAGAGAAGAGAGTTGGGGTGAGTGATAGAAGCCTCCTTTCGGCATTATAAACCATTGGGAATGCTGTAATTCCTCAACTTGTGTGATTTAGGTGTATAAACTGGTACCTTCCTACCACCTAAATAGCTTTGTTCTTGTTTGCAGATGAATAATTTCCTTCCCTTCTCAACTTTACCACCTTTATTAGTTCTCTTCTGCTTAATGCTTTCCTTTATGCATTCCATTATTTTATTATCTTTGGTCTATTATACTTGTTTCGTTCTACATACCAGTTATTTAAATAAGAGTTTAAGATGACTGATTTTTTTTTTTTTCTTGCAAAAGACATTTCTACTTTGTATACAGTATAGTCCACAGATGCATTGTATTTTTCTGGCCTCCCTGGAAGTGATTATCTAATTTTGTTATGTGGGCTGGCCTGTTTTGCTCATTTAATCTTCTTTTGAAAATGCTGAATAATATGCCAAGTTATATTTGAGACTTGTTAACATTACCACAAATGTTTTGATACATAAGAGTGGCAAAATCGATCACTTTGCATACCTCAAAGTAACAGTTTCCTTTAGGGCAAGTAAGGATGGGACAGTTTTGTTAAAATTAAGGAATTTTAGCTGTCATTTTAAAAATTGCTTATTGGGTTAATAACATAGGTTTTCTGTGGGACCATGAATCTCTTGATGCCGATAATCTCTTAATGAGCGTGGGCATCAGAATGACTTGGGTGCAAACGCTGTTCTCCCAGTTTCTTACTATTATGACTCTGGGAGAATTACTTAACTTCTCTGGGCCTCAGTTTCTTCTGTAAAATGATGATAATTGATAGCACCTATCTTAGAGTTCTCATGAAGATTGCATTAGCATTACAACGATGATTAGAAAACGACAGCTGTATGTATATGCTATACTGATAGAAAAGTGGCGTCTTCCTTTATAATATCTTAACATTTGGGGCATTGTAGGCCCTTTGAGAATGTGGTGGACTATCCCTAGTGAAATAAGCTTGTGTCTGTGTACATAATATCTTGCTGGGGTTACCAGGGTGTCCCTGATCCCCGTAGGCAGGTGTGAACGCTGGCTGTATTATAAAGTGACCCAGTGGACGAAGCCTTCTGTGGAGAGGAGGGAGAGAGAATGCATTTTAGGCAAGAATATAGCATGTGCAAAAAGGCCATGGGGAATGAAATTGTTCTAAAGGCAGAAAATGTGCTAGTTACAGGAAAGGCCTGACTGGAACACAGAAGTGAGTGAGGCAGAAAGGAATTTGAGGAAGGGATGAGGCCTTTAATATGTTTACGCAAATCTAAGCCATGGACCAATTCACTCTTCTCCAAAAATTAGAATATTTTAATTTAAACGGAAAGACATTTCCAGTATGTTCAAAGGGGCTTAACTACGTAAGAAAGGAAGGGAATTTTAGAAGGGAATCTTTACTATTTGTTGATGTTGAAAATAAAATGACGCTTCACAGTTTTCCCATACAGAGTGTATTGTATTTTAAAGGTAGGGTAGAAATTGCAGTTGATTTTATGGGTCTCTTCAGTAAGTATTATACAGAAACCCATGATTTGGCTGTTGACGTCTATGTGTAGTAGGTTAATATGTTCAGACTCATTTGCCAGAGCACAAGTACCAGGGCTTGCTCAGCCTTCCTACGTCCTCACCTGAAGACAACCCCTAGTTATGACAAGCACACATACCTCCTCAACCACTATGATTCTTAGGGCTTTCTGGCTCTTATCTGTATCGTGATTGATCTATTTCCGTGTCTATTCTTTGTTGACAAAGCTGAACATATGTAGTCAAAAGGGAGTGTACGGATGTGAGCAGCATGGGATTAATGGTTCTGGGTAAGTCATAAGATAGGAGCCTGGCAGAAGCAGTAAGTCATTGGTTTAATTTTAGAGATTGTAGTGTACTTTCTCTGGCTTTCTCCTTTCCTGCTTTCTCTCTGAATTTTATTCCGTTTGAGAACTATTTGAAGGAAAGCCCCTCTAGCAAACATTAAGCAGTGAGAAAGAAGGAAATACATAAAAGAACCACATGTCATCCTAAAGATGTTAATGCGAGGGAGGTGGGACATAAAAGACCTTCCAAGCCAAATTTCACGTTTTAACTTTGGGTTAACCAGATAGAAGGAGAGGACATAATTAGCCATCTTGATACTGATACATGTCTTTATCGTGGAGTAAAACTTTATCACTTTTGTAGGTTGAACAAATTGAAGCAGGGACACCAGGCCGACTCAGGGTGGTAGCTAAGTCCACTGATAGTGACAAAACCATCGAAGGAGAGTATAATACGGTAAGGAATGGACCTCGGTCCTACTTAATTAGAAAACAGATAGTGTGCTCACTGGATGTTTGCTGGGTTGCTAGTTCCAAAACCCTTGGTTCTGTTCCTATTCTAAGACACCTTTATTACTTATGATATTATAATTTGTTTTGGTATAGGGATGGATTCAAATATTCTCCACTATAACTTAAATACTGTTTATCAGATGGCTATTAAAAGGTATCAACATTTTAAAATGAGCTAGAATTTCTCTGCTCCATGTTCTTTCATTTTCCCAGCCCACCACTTTAAAAAAATAACTTATTTCAGTCATAGGCTATGCTGTCTTTGTCGCTATACTTGGCTAGACTTATTAAGGAATTGTTAACTCCCTTTTTCTTAACAAGAAATGGGTAAGACTTTTTACTATGTCATGTTTAGAAGATTTAATTTAAATGATTTTGATTTGTTTAAACTCTTGCATTATTATCTTAATAGAATATGTCTTTCCAGGTCTGGAAAATGAATCACATCACCTTAATAAACAGAAAAAAATATGATTAAATAACTCATGCAAAGCCTTTCTATTAACAGTCACTATATATTAATAATTTTTCAGGTATTGCTGGCAATAGGAAGAGATGCTTGCACAAGGGAAATTGGCTTAGAAAACGTGGGGGTAAAGTTAAATGAACAGTAAGAAAAAATCTTTATTATGTTTTATTAAGTACTATTTCAGTTATTTATAAGATCGATTAATACTGGAGTTTTAGATTTTAAAGTTAGTTTTTACCATAGTTGGAGCGTTCCCTTTTTAAGCTTAGAAGACTCTTCTTTCGGTGCCAATCATGATATTTCCTATTTGTCTTTTTCTTTTTTTCCTTTTCAAAATCTAAATGAGAGGTACGCTGGCTTGCATTTTGTTTCTTCAATGTATATGTGTACAGAAAAAGATCCAACTTCCCAGTGAATTGCAGGTATATGCTTTGAAAGCTTCATTGAATATGCAGATCTGAACCATGTTCAAAGCTACCAAGTTTTAGGATCACTAGAGTGGTCGCTACATTTCTAGTGACAGCTATGAGTCTGAAAACTTTGATGTTTTATAAGTTAAAATCCCTTTGGACTATACCACTGCACTGGGTAATTGAGACTCTGTTGTCTGCTTACAGGAGTAGCATGGGGTATTTCCCAGTATCACCCTTCTTATATCCAAGTAAAAACAAGTGCTCTGAGAGGCTAGCTGCCTTGGAAATTGAAAATACAGGGTGCCCCCTCTACCCCCTTCCAGGAATAACATTTATACAGAAGAGATTTCTTAATCTTAATGCGAACATTTTTGCTTTATTATTTTCTTTCCCCTTTGGGTTGGAGAGACAAAGGAGTTGGGGAGGTCTGATAAGATTTAGCAGACCAAGTGTTCCACCATTTTAACAACCTACTCGCCTGTTTCCAACTGGGGCCAAGGTTTAGATTTTGTATAATGTTAACACTTATTCTGTAATTACTGGACTCCATGGACTACTGTGCTTAATGTTTTATACACATTCTCATTCAGTCCTCACAACCCCTTAAGGTAGATGATGGTATTCTTTTTCTTCTCACCAATTATTCCCATTATCATTATTCCCATTTGATAGGTGGGAAAATGATGCTTAGAGATGTTAAATAGCCCTCCCAACATCACAGAGGTAATAACTAACAGACCTGGTTATCACACTTTAGAATCCTCATTCATTCTTAACCAGTGTGTTCTACTTTTCCCATCCCAGGGTTTCTTACAGTTTTCTTATTCCTCTGATTTTCAGAATAGCTAGAATTTCTAAGCTTTTGGTTCCTCTGAGTTTTGTTGTTGTTTTGGTAATACATGAGAACATTGCCCTCAGTTAGAGCCACAGTTTGGGGCTTCTTTGGGAGAAAGGGGATTTTGATCTACTTACTGAATAGTGGTAATTGATGATGATTTTAACTGAATGAATTTGCAGGACTGGAAAAATACCTGTCACGGATGAAGAGCAGACCAGCGTGCCTTACATCTATGCCATTGGCGATGTGTTAGAGGGGAAGCTGGAGCTCACCCCAGTGGCAATCCAGGCAGGAAGGTTGCTGGCGCGGAGGCTGTATGGGAGCTCCACTGTCAAGGTGAGTGTTGGGGCTGTCACCACGGACATGCTGTTGTAATGGTACCTCCCGGTGCTCTGTGTAGGGTGGTTGTGAAGTTTTCCAGGTCTTGAATAATTTAGTTGTTTTGATGATGGCATCCTAGATGTGCTTTATTAACTCTGTTCCAGACAAGACATTGCTAAGACCACTGTACCTTTGTGATTTATTATGGAAATTGTCACTCTTAGAATCACACTAAGAACAAAATGAGCCTGGTTAATCAAGTTTCAGCACTATTATGTTCCATATACTCCTAATAGTTGCACTTTACATCAATTTCATTATTACCAATTTGAGTTATAATTTTCTAAATCTTTTTATGGCCCCTGTCTAGGCTGCAAAAGGATTTGGGGATCTAGGTAGTAATGTCAATGTGCAGAGCTATTTAAACCAATATTCAGGCTTTATTCCCCTGTCCTTTCTAAAAGCAGATCTTCTGCTCTTGGAATGTTGAATATGTAAGTGATTTTAAAAGTCATTGCAGGAAATGGAAACTCTTCGTTGTGTCTCATGGGACTAGATGGCAAGAAAAGAATAAATATGCTCTAATTAGTTTTTTAAGACCTTTTAAAGAACAGTTTTAGGTTCACAGCAAAATTTAGAGGAAGGTATAGAGGTTTCCCTTATATCCCCTACCCATTACCAACGTTCCTTCCCTAACTATTTTTTTAAAAGGATTCTAGAAATATCGATTGTAAAGAATTTAGTCACTACCCATTTTCCTTGTGCATAAGTCATCATGGGTTGATTTAGTTTGGTTACAGCCACTGAAACTTCAAAGAATACTGCTAGTAGAATTTGTGACAAGCATTTTGAAAGTACCTGGGGTTGGTTTGGATTGTAGCATGATAAAATCTTATGTTTTGAGGATAACAGGATTGAGGTTAAAAAGGGTTTTTAATCCAGGGTTGTCTGATCATCCAGGGAATAGTAGTTGGTTCATATCACTGTTTTTTTGTGTGTGTGTGGTACGCGGGCCTCTCACCGCTGCGGCCTCTGCTGCCGCTGAGCACAGGCTCCGGACGCGCAGGCCCAGCGGCCACGGCTCACGGTCCCAGCCGCTCCATGGCACGTGGGATCCTCCCGGACCGGGGCATGAACCCGCGCCCCCCGCATCGGCAGGCGGACCCTCAACCCCTGCGCCACCAGGGAAGCCCCCATATCACTATTTGAAATAAACTTATCTGCCTCTTTAACTGTTGGAGTTCTTGAGTAATGGTGAACCAAGAAAGGGGTATTCAGAAATAAAATGTGAGGTGCATTTGTTTTTGACCTTGAGTCCTTGTGATTTCCTAAAATGGAAAGAGATTTTTTTTATACCAATAATAACCAGAGGGCAAATATACAAAATTTGGTACTAAATAAATTTAAAATTATTGTAGCACAAAATTCCTTAAAAAAAAAAATAGTGAATCCACTTACTTTGGACATATTCTTCTGTGTGTGAGAATAGTACTGTATTCTAGCATCTGCCAGGTAGAGCAAATTCTTAAAGTGCCTTAAGCTTTTATCAGCATCAGAATTTAATGTAAATTGAAATTAAAGGACTCTTTTTTTGTTGTTTGTTCTTTTTCCCCCGTTTTTAGTCTAACTAATATGACAAGTGCTTTACCGAACAGGAAAATAAACAGGTGGTGCTAAGTCCCTGAGTTTGAAATCTCACCAGTCTGTCCTTCAAATATAGTAAACAAAGCTGAAATGCTAATAGGTATCTAGGTTAATTGTATTTGGGGAAATTACACAGTTTTGTTTTGTTTTTAAAGAACTGCGTAATCCTTTTAATTTTGCCCAGTATGTATTAATAGAACATTCCCACATATCTGAGAACGTCAGAGGATCCACATCTGCCTTCCTTCCTTTTTGTTTTGTTTTTTTTTTTGGCGTTATGCAGGCCTCCCACTGCCGTGGCCTCTCCCGCCGCGGAGCACAGGTTCCGGATGCGCGGGCTCAGCGGCCATGGCTCACGGGCCCAGGCGCTCCACAGCATGTGGGATCCTCCCGGACCGGGGCACGAACCCGTGTCCCCTGCATCGGCAGGTGGACTCTCAACCACTGTGCCACCAGGGAAGCCCTAGCATCTTTATTATTACTTAAAGTGGTTCTTTGTAAATCAGTTCAATTTTACAGTAAATGTAAAACTATTTTATGTGGAAACTACAGAGAAACCACGGTACACATACCTGCAACTTGAGGATGGGTTGTGTTCTAGAAGCTTATTACGTTGTTTGTTGTGAAAACTGCAAAGTATTTTATCCAAATAAAGTATTAAAAACAAGGATTACATTTCTCAGGTTAGGCCACAATAGTCTATTTAAGCCAATTGGAAACTGAATTTTGAGACCAAGGAGAAAAAATGTCTTTTATGTGGATCCAGATTTCCGTCTGATATACCATTTTCTGCCTGAAGAACTTCCTTTAACAGTTGTTTAGTGCATGTCTGCTCAAGGGGAATTCCTTGGCTTTTTTTTTTTTAAGTTTATTTTGCCTTTATTTTTTTGAAGATATTTTTGCTGAATATAGAATTCTAGATTTACAGTGTGTATTTAAGTATTTGCCCATTGTCTTCTGGTTGCATAGATTCTAAAGAGAATATGCCCTCATTTTTATCTTTGTTCCTCTTAAGTTTTTCTTTTTAATCACTGTTTTTTAGCATTTTGACCATTGCATGTTTCGGCATTCTGCTGGTGGTGTGTAGAGATTTGGGGTTTATCTGTTCATAGTTTTCATCAAATTTGGAAATTTTTTAGCCATTCAATTTTTCTGCTTTCCCCCTCTTTTTTCCCCCTCAGCCTCACATTAATGAATGTTGGTTCCCTCAGTGGATCTCTAATGCTCTGTTCATGTTTTTTCTCCCTGTTTCTGTGCTTTATTTTTTTAGAGAGCCTATTGCAATGTCTTCAAGTCCACTGATCTTTTCTTTTGCACTGTCTTGGGATATAAATCCCATTCTGTGTAGTTTGCACTTCAAGCAGTTTCTTTCATCTCTACGAGTTTTACTTATTTAAAATATATTTTCCTTTTCTCTCCTCAGCGGATTCCTATTTTTCTCTAGTTTCTTGAGTCTACAGAACACATTTATAATAGCTCCTTTTTTAAAAAAAACAAAAATATTTATTTATTTAATCTTTGTCTGTGTTGAGTCCCCGCCGCCGTGCGCAGGCTCCCTCTAGTGCATCGAGCAGGGGCTACTCTTCGTTGCGGTGCGCGGGCATCTCATTGCGGTGGCTTCTCTTGTTGCGGAGCTCACAGCCTTCAGTAATTACGGGCTTCAGTAATTCCGGCACGCGCGCTCAGTAGCCGTGGCTCGCGGACTCTAGAGTGCAGGCTCAGTAACTGTGGCGCAGAGGCTCAGCTGCTCCATGGCATGTGGGATCCTCCCAGACCAGGGATCAAACCCATGTCCCCTGAATTGGCAGGCAGACTCCCAACCACCACGCCACCAGGGAAGTCCTTATAATAGCTCTTTTAATGTCCTCTGCTAATCCCCTTCTCTCTTTTGCAATGTCTGTTTCTGTTGATTGATTTTCCTCTTGGTATTAGTTTGTGTGTTCTTGCTCATTTGCATGTTGTGTTACTTTGGATGGATGCAGACTTTGTGCATTTTACACTGTTGGGGGCTGGGTTTTGTTGAATTCCCTTATATAGTGTTGGACTTTGTTCTGGTGGCCCGTTATGTTACAGGGGATTAATTTTATCCTTGTGTAGCTTGCTTTTCAGCTTTTTTAAGGTTTGTCAACAGCAGCCTTTCATTTAGGCCCAATTTAGTTCCACTACTCAATTGTTGCCCTTTCAAGGACTCTGCCCCCGTTCCTCTTACTACGAACTCTCTCTACTCTGGCCTGTGGGAACAGAAACTGATTCCCATCCTGTAAGAGCTCTGGTCATTTGGGGGCTCACTGATTTCCAGTGGTTCTTTCCTCACCCTTGAGTGCTTTCCTCTGGCATCCATTTACAGATCAGTCCTCAGCCCAAATCTCAGGAGGCCCTCTCTGCAGATCTTAAGTTCTCCTTGTGCAGCTCTACCCACTTTGGTGTTCTGCCCTGCGGCTTCGGGCCACATTGGCTTCCCTGAACTGGGATCTCTGTCTCCATAACTCAGGAAGATCCTGCACTCTGTTCCCTCTCTTTGCACCAAGCCCTGGAAACTGCTCTGGGCAGGAGACTAGAGCAATCGCTGGTCTCACCTCATTTGTTTCCCTTCTCACAGGGACCACAGTGCTGCACACCCTACCATCAGTGTCTTAAAAAGTATTGCATAAAAAAAAAAAAAAAAAAAAAAGTATTGCATATTTGTCCCGTTTTTTAGTTGTTTAAAACAGGAAGTAAACCTGGTCCATTATGGCTGTAAGTGGATGTCTGCCTTTACTTTTGAATTGGAATTCCAAGGATTTGTGCTCTTTTTAGAGAAAAAAGACTATATATGCTATTTCTAGAGGGAGGCACATTTTAAAAATCTCACCCTATGGTGTTAGAGAGGGAGAATTGTATTTTTCATATTTTAAGCGCTTACCTTAAATTTAGGCTTTACCTCTATGTCCAAATGTGACTGGGTAGGTTTTTACCAAATAGCATTGGCAAACATATTTGGCACTTACATAGTTACATTTTTCACAATTCACATCAGCATATCAAAGGCTCTGAGGAATCTGATAGTTGAGAAACCTGTTTATTTGCTAATTACAGCATTTTACAAACTTGTTTCACTTCAGAACCCTTCCGACATCTACGCCTATTAAAATGTGCTTTGGAAATACTGTCATAATCATGAACTTTTTTGTTGCTGTGGCCTTCATTACCATTTTAATGGCTGCATAAGTTTGCATTGGAAATATGTACTACAGAATCACTTCCTTATTTGCATTTTAAAGCCGCTCCAATATTGCCACTGTTGATGAGAACTGCGGCATTGCTCAATTAATGCATGTGGCTTTTGCTATATATTAAATTATTATTATAGATTTCTAAAAGTGGTGTTATTGGGCCAAAAATTATTAAATGTTCTTATGGCTCTTGATTTGTATTGCCTGATTGATTTTCCAATAAAGTCTGTTAACTTCTGCCACTGATAATAGGAGACTTCAAGCATTGGGTGCACTGGTGGTGTTTTTGGCTGCTTTATTTAAGGGAGAGAAAGGATGTCCTTGTAATATCTGTTGGTAGATGGGTGGAGAGGCCACGCAAATTGTTTATTCATGACTAGTATTAACGGACTTCAAACCGCTGCTGAAATTTTATCATATCAGTTAATGGTTCTCAGCATAGTAGGTTTTTATTAGTCTGTTTTCCTCTCCTAAATTTGAACCTTTTTGAAGTATATGCTCTTTTGAGTTATAATTCCTTCTGTCATAACTCTTTTCCTCCGTTTTGAAACAGTGTGACTATGAAAATGTTCCAACGACCGTTTTCACTCCTTTGGAATATGGTGCTTGTGGTCTTTCTGAAGAGAAAGCTGTGGAGAAATTTGGGGAAGAAAATATTGAGGTAAGTTCTACTCTTTACTACTACTTTTCCCCCCAAAATTTAAAATAATTTTCAGCATACAGAGAAATTGAAAAATAGCCCAAAGAATTTCTGTATACCCATTATCCAGATTCATGTATTATTAACATTTTGCCCATTTGTTTTATACTTTGCATGTTCCCTTCCTCTTTCTCTGTGCATCTGTGTGTATTTCTTTTTCCTGAACCGTTTGAGAGTAGGTTGAATGCCCCTTTACCCCTAATTACTTGAATGTGTATTTCCTATGAACAAGGACATTTTCCTGTATAACCACACAGTGGTTACTATTTTTTAGACAATGTGATGTTGATACAATACTTTTATCTGACCTGCCTTCCATTTATCAGTTTTATCAGTTGACCCAGTAATACTTAGTTCTACTTTTCAAAACCACTTTTACTGGTTTCTTTTTATTATTTATATGGTTAAAAATACAAGGAAGGAAACTAAAAAGTACCTACATTTCTACTCTTATTAACTTTTTTTTTTACCATTACCCTCTAATTTATACTAACTTTGCCAGTCACCTTTTATCCTGTATATAGTCAAGGAAAATGCACATGAAATAACTACTTTTATATATACAAATAATGCTGCACATAGGGTCTGCTGTTTTAAATCACTTGGGAAAAAAGTTTCCAGTAAAACCTTCTAAAAGACTAGATTTGTGAATCAGAGTAAATTTTCTAATATAAAAGTCTATTTTAAATTTCTTAATCTTTTCTTTATTATATGCTTCAGTAGTAGCATGTAATATCAGTCTATCAGTAACACATTATTTTCATATTTCTTGATGAATTGGTAGATTGGGATTGACATATTACACTAATATGTATTAAATGGATAACTAGTAAGAACCTGCTGTATAAAAAAATAAAATAAATAAAAATCAAAAATCTAAATAAATAAAATATTAGCCTAAAGCCAGCATGCTTTGGAAGGCAATCCTTCTTCTTATCTTTTTTTTTTTTTAAATAAAATCACAGGTTGCATTCTAAAATTAGGAAAGTTAGTTTTTGGATTGAAAAATAATAAAGTGATATAATTTGTTGTTATGTTCATCTTTTCCATTAGGAATGCTAAACGTGAGTTGACTGTATTAAATAGGAGCTTTCTACATTTTTTTTTTTTTTTTGCGATACGTGGGCCTCTCACTGTTGTGGCCTCTCCCGTTGCAGAGCACAGGCTCCGGACGCGCAGGCTCACGGGCCCAGCCGCTCCGCGGCCTGTGGGATCCCCCCCGGACCGGGGCACAAACCCGTGTCCCCTGCATCGGCAGGTGGACTCTGAACCACTGTGCCACCAGGGAAGCCCAACACTTCTTTTCTGATTGTAAAATATATATAAAAAAATATATTCTAAAAAAAAAAAAAAAAAAAATATATATATATATATATATATATCCTCATAGGAAATTTGAAAAATTAGGAAAATATAAAAACAAATTTTAATTCATGAAAAGATAACTGCTATTAATACTTTTGCATATGCTAATCTCTAAGTATTTATATGTTATATATATTGTGTGTGTATATAATTTTGTGTAGGTATATACATTTTAGTTTAAGTGTGATTAAGTTATGTGCAGTTTTCTGTCGTACTTTGCAGTTAACGTTAGGTCACAAGCCATTTCCCTCTAAAAACACCGCTTTTAAAAATGACTTGTGCAATATTGCCTTTCAGGGGTGCTGTATGGTAATTTGGTAAGCCTTTCTTTTATTAGATTATTTACAGTTTTTCACTGTTATAAATAGAATTGTGAACATCTTTGCTACTCATTGTCTCTTTCTCTGATTTTTTGCTGAGGATAGATTGCTATCAGAAGGTATTTAACTTTTAAGGTTCTTAATGTATATATTCTGTGTTTCTTCACAGATAATCTTTGGAATTCGTTTTATTAGAATTTGGATTTTTTATTATAAAAACAATGCATTTGAGTTGAAATCTTGAAAACTGCAAGGGAAATAGTAAACAGTTACTCATAGGCTTATGTTTACAACGCAGCAGTTGTTAGCCTTTGGGGGTAATTGCTTTAACCAATTCTTTCTCGGTGTAATGGTTGCAGTACTATGATACTACACATTCAATATTGTAACACACATTAAAAAAAATCACATCATATTACAAGATAAAAGAATGTTATATAATGTTTACATAATCAGTATGTTTTTAAAAGGTCCTGCCAACCATATATGTTTTGAATTGAGGCTAGCAGTTGGAGGAGAAAAAAATCCCTTTAGTCATCCAAGACTTAAGTTTATGAAATGTCAGTAAGGATGTCTGTTTGTCCTTCTATGTACCATCTTCCCTCCCTCCTTCCTTCTCTCCTTCAGTACTTTTGGTGAATAATTTCAGAGGAGAAAATTTTTGGAAATATTAAGTCAGAGAACTAGATAATTGCTATAATTGTTCCTGGCACCTTACCTGTTTCTTGCCCAAAGTTGTCATTCCTGTGAGGTAGCTAGATGGTGTTTTTTTGTTTTGTTTTTTTTCTAATGCAAGACAGCAAGTAATTACATGGCTTCTTTCTCTCATTTGTTTGCTCTTGTTACATAAGGTCTATTCGTTGGAGGTTGAAATGTAATTAAGGGATGAGCTTATAGCAAAAGGGCTTGTCACCTATGAGTTTAAAGTTATTTACCTTCTGACCAGGTTCCTATGTATCCATGAATTTTACTGTTTAATGAAAGTCTAATTACTAAACGTTAAAGAGCCTCCACCGTCTTCACACCACAACTCATGTTTGACAGACATACTTCTTAAGATGATGGGTCTAAATTGTGCTTCCCTCTTCTTAGGTTTACCATAGTCACTTTTGGCCATTGGAATGGACGATTCCATCAAGAGATAACAACAAATGTTATGCAAAAATAGTCTGCAATATCAAAGACAGTGTAAGTGCTAATCTTATTTACACCTTTCTACTAATTTTTCACATGGTACATACATTGCATTCCTTTAGCGTTCAACCTGTACGTCTCCTGTTGGGATGTTATCCCAGGGAGAGGCCCATGATGACACTGCTTGACTCACGTCTGCAGTGGATGTAGTGGGCAGGCAGTCAGAACTTTCTGGAGGAAGGAACCAGAGGGACAACTTGAGAACTGCTTGTGTTTATTAGAGGGGACCAACGAAGCTGTCAACTGTCTACAAATAATGACAAAACAAAAAAGAACAGTAATAACCCAAGTTTGTATCCTATCTGTCACCATTCAAAGATATTACATAATTATTGACTATATTCCCCACATTGTACATTTCATACCGGTGACTGATTTATTTTGTAACTGGAAGTTTGTACCTCCTGATATCCCTTCACCTATGTGGATTGAATCTTTATGAGAATTGGTATTTTTAACTTAACTGAGATCTTACTTTTTAAAAAAGTGTCCCCAGTAAAACTATAAACAATGCTAAAGAATCCATATGTTAAAAGGCTAATAAACTCATTTTCTTATCTTGGGATTTGAGTATAATTAACTGATATATCCTGTTTAGAAACTACCACTGTACACAGTAGCACAGTTGCAGATTGCTTTTTGCAGAACCCAAGGTTCTAGGAAAACCTGGATCCTCTACAAAAAAGGTCATCATAGATGCATTTAAAAACTGGACATACTATGATAACCTCTAACAAGCTATACAGAGTAGAAATAGAGGACAATTTCATGTAGAGTTTTATCTTTTTAGACGTAAGTTTTAATAACGTCATTTGTATGAGTATACATTAGATACCATGCTACTGTAGAAGAGAAAGGAGAAAAGGAGAAAATGTCAGACGTTCTCATTGGCAGCCTTATGTCTAGCAAGAGATACTTCATTTGCACAAGGCAATCAATGAAACCTCAAAAGTTTCACACTGAGCAAGTCTTTAATTTTAACTGTATCCAGTTGTTTTGTCCTTGTTTTTTTTGAACTACCGTGTCATTTGTTCAAATCGAGTTTTTTTTTTTTTGGCGGTACGCGGGCCTCTCACTGTTGTGGCCTCTCCCGTCGTGGAGCACAGGCTCCGGACGCGCAGGCTCAGCAGCCATGGCTCACGGGCCCAGCCGCTCCGCGGCATGTGGGATCTTCCCGGACCGGGGCACGAACCCGTGTCCCCTGCATCGGCAGGCGGACTCTCAACCACTGTGCCACCAGGGAAGCCTGGCATTTTTTATATAATATGAAAAATAATTTTCATTACCGGTAAACTCACCTTAATTAAAATGACTGAGGCGATAAATAGGATGACAGTGTTGTCAATTATTTTCATTAAAAAAGATAGTATTAGGGCTTCCCTGGTGGCGCAGTGGTTGAGAGTCCACCTGCCGATGCAGGGGACGCAGGTTCGTGCCCCGGTCTGGGAAGATCCCACATGCTGCGGAACGGCTGGGCCCGTGAGCCATGGCCGCTGAGCCTGTGCGTCCGGAGCCTGTGCTCCGCGACGGGAGAGGCCACAACAGTGAGAGGCCCGCGTACTGCAAAAAAAAAAATACAAAAAAAAGATAGTATTAGAAGAGACGAATACTTGTCATTGCTCTTTTGTCATGAGCCGTCTCATACAAAAGCTTGCTTCTGGAACTTGACCATCCTTGGGGCTTGCTTTATTCATTTTGAGTCAGTCACTTCACAGTGTCTAGATGTGCTTGGTTTTAGATAATACTTGCTTACCAGGCTTTTATGCTTTTTGTGTGCTATTCTTTTTTCACACGAAATCCTTAAAATTTACAGAAAGGGTTGGGAGAATGTACCTACCATCCAGACTCAAATGAATATTAACATTTTGGTGTATTTGCTTCAGAGCTTTTCTCTTATCAGCGATAAACCATCACAGAGGCAGTTTATAATAGCCTATATGTAATTGAACACTTGAAATGTGCCAGAGACTACTTAATGGTCCACATGTACGAACTTATTTAATCCTTACATAACCTTATGAGGTATGTGCTATTGTTATCCCCATTCATAGACGAGGAAACTGAAGCGTGGAAGTTAAATAGTTGTGCCAGGGTACTTACTAGTTAATGGCAGAGCTGGAATTCAGTCCCAGGCAACGTAGAATCTGTGCTGTTAACCACTAGCTGGTGCCGGTGCTGTCTTTCGTATTCTTTCTTGATCCTCTACCCCTCATTCCTTCCCTACTCCAGAGGCAGCACTGTCCTCAAGTTGGACTCTCTCACCTGTTCATATTTGTATCCGTTTGCTGCCTATTACTTACCATAAATGTCATACAATGTGGTTTAAAGAAGAGTGGTATCCTCAGCTAAATAGAAGCCTGCACTTTTTTGTTTTTGAATCTCAGTTTGAGATTTATCCATATTATTACATGTAAATCTAGCGTATTTTAAGAGCCTAGTATATTTTGTGTTTTATTTATCCATATACACAACCCCTGACTGTCAGGATGAATAATGTAAGAGTCTAACATGGAATGTATCACGTACAGAATGCCTTTCCTGATTGTTTCCAGGGAGCATGGCGCCTTAGGTCAGGCTCTGCACCTCACCACCCGAGCTACCTGGTCTGTTGTGAGGGTGCTGGACTGGATGCACTTCCCCCGAGCTGGCTCGGAAAGTCTGTGCAGTAGAACGCAACAGTCTTCCCTGCTCTTGGCAGAGGTAGCCTGAGGTTGGGATTTAGAATTTATCCAAAATAATTCCCACACAGGTATTTCAGAGTTGCCAAATATTTTTTTTTCTTGCTTTCACTCATAGAGATTGACAAATATCATATGATATTGCTTTATGTGGAAGCTAAAACAAAAGGTACAAATGAACTTTTTTACAGAACAGAAATAGAGTCACAGATGTAGAAAACAAACTTGTGGTTCAGGGGGTAAGGGGGGGGATAAAGTGGGAGATTGGGATTGACATATACACGCTACTATATGTAAAATAGATAATAAGGACCTACTTTATAGCACAGGGAACTCTACTCAGTACTCTGTAATGGCCTATATGGGAAAAGAATCTAGAAAAGTACGTATATGCATAACTGATTCACTTTGCTGTACACTTGAAACTAATATAACATTGTAAACTACTATACTCCAATAAGAAATTTTTTTAAAAGTGTTTTCACATTGGAAGGATCTTAAGTCTGTGCTATCTACCCCCAAAACTTTAGTGTAAATGATTTTTTAATTTGAATGGTTGCTCTTCAGTGTTTCAGCTACCACAGGTCGTTTATCTGGAGCTTTGAGACAATCAGATAGAGGAGATGAGGGCACAATGGAACGGCCCTTTGAAAACATTTTCCAGAACATTTTGCTGCTTATGGGTTGCACACATTTTTGCTTTCCACGTGTCTCTTCATCCTCATCCATGGCCGATTCCTGTCTTTCCCTTCTTGCTTGATGTGACCACACGTGCTGTACTAGCCCACGTTGGAGTATCTGCAGCCTAGACAGCTTTTAGCAGCAAGCATTAGTATAAGCCTTGGCCATTTCTGAATGGGGGTTTTAGATTAGACTGGGGAAATATTCCAGTCTGTTAAGGGGGGAAAAGCCGCATAATTTTATTACTTTTTTGTACCTTAGGAGCGTGTTGTGGGCTTCCACGTACTGGGTCCAAATGCTGGAGAAGTTACCCAGGGCTTCGCAGTAGCTCTCAAGTGCGGGCTGACCAAAGACCAGCTGGACGGCACCATCGGAATCCACCCCGTCTGCGCAGAGGTGGGTCACTACGTTTTAAAGGCTCTGTTTCAAAGTGACAGCGTCACCTGGCTTACAGGGGGCAGATGTGGGACTCTGCAGCTAGTGTTCTCTCTGCTGTACTCGAGCTACTTTTACCTCCTTAGAGCTTATTAGTGGTGGAGAATATCTCAAAAGAAAGCCTTGTCTCTAGAAATGATTTTTTTCTCTTTCATATGTTTCTCATTCCTGGTAACCAGATAGCACCGTCATGCTATTAAATGGTAAAAATGATGAGAGTGCTTTATAGAGATGTGCCTCACATCTTTTATTTATCATGTGTCCTAAATTATTTTCCTGGCAGTCAGCTAATAATGCTGTTCGTACCCAGAAAGAGCATCAATCCTAGTTATCCCTGAGCTACCTGGAGGCTAAATGATGTCTACCTTGTGAGCTTTTGACATTAAAGAATGAGAATGAAAGTGAGGCTTGTAAAAGATCAAGCAAATGGCAGTAGAACTGGAAATTGACCAATGTGGGCCTCTGGGTGTCAGTGTTTCTTCATGCCTGTCAGCGCTCATTCCAAGAGTCGAATATTGTGATACCACTAAGTAGGGCCTGGAAACCAAAAAAAGTGTCTACGCTGGAGAACTTGGAGGTGGGGAGAGGTTATCTCATAAAGAGGCTTAGGTATGGAACTGAGAACTGCAGCCTAGAAAAATGTTCTCATTTCCTTTTTCTTTGCCTTTTCCCTGAGTAGGGATAGTGTCTTCCTCTGTATTAATAAGCACCTGTTTAGTGGCATTATTCACAGAAAACTTTGTGTGTGTGTGTTGTTTTGTTCTGTGTGGGTTTTTTTCCTTCTTTTTTTGAAAACTGTTGTTCTTGTGAAGTAAAACTAAATTTCAAACATTATAAATAAAAATTGAAAAGAGAATAGATTTTAAAAGCTCTTAAAGAACAGGCAGTATGTCTTTTTGTGTGTGTGTGTGTGGTACACGGGCCTCTCGCTGTTGTGGCCTCTCCCGTTGCGGAGCACAGGCTCTGGACGCGCAGGCTCAGTGGCCATGGCTCACTGGCCCAGCTGCTCCGCGGCATGTGGGACCTTCCCGGACCGGGGCACGAACCTGTCTCCCCTGCATCAGCAGGTGGACTCTCAACCACTGCGCCACCAGGGAAGCCCAGTATGTCTTTTATTCAGTGTAATGACTGAGACTGTCTAGGAAGGAGCCAATTAACTTAATTTTTTTTTTTTCAAGAACACTTAGTGTGTTAGTTTCCTGGGGCTGATGTAACAAACCACCACAAACTGGGCGTTTGAAGACAATGGAAATCTATTCTCTCAGAGTTTTGGAGGCTAGAGTCTGAAATCAGGGTGTCAGCAGGGCTGTGCTCCCTCCAAAGGCTCTAGAGAGCATGGCTTCTTTGCCGCTTCAGCTTCTGGGGTTGCAGGTCTTGACATTTCTCAGCTTGTAGACACATCACTCCAGTCTCTGCCTCCGCTTTTCATGTGATCTTATCTCCTGTGTATCTGAGCCAAATTTCCCTCCTATTGTAAGGATAATTAGTCATTGGATTAGGGCCCACGCTGATCCAGCATGATTTCATTTTAACTTGGTTACATCTGCAAAGACCTTGTTTCCAAATAAGGTCATGTGCACATTACCAGGGCTTAGCACTTGAACATCTTTCTGGGAGACTTAATTCAACCCACGACAGTGAGTATATTTAAAAGTCTAAGATACTTTAAAATAAGAACAGTCATCTCCGACAGGGATAAAGACGTAACTTCCCTACTTGGTTCTGCGAGTGTCTAACTTTTTAATCTGAATTTGGTTCTCAGTGGGCTGGTTGAAAAGGCTGACGTGTACTTGCCTCCTGCCGCCTCACTTGGTTGTGTTGTATCATGTCGTGTCGTGTTGTGTTGTGAGCCAGCAGCAGTGAGAGCGCGGCAGCATCTTGGCAGGATGACTGCCCGCTGGGCAGAGAGGTGCAGTGAAGAGGCAGGTGTCCTCCTGAAGCCCGGGCCCGCAGGGAGGCCAGCCAAAGGCCTGCTCCCGCCGTACGCCTGGCACCATGGGAACCCTTTTTAAGTCTTGATGTTTGCCACTGTGCCTCTCCATCTGTTGGTTCTCTTATGACCTTGAAGCTCAGAGGTGAATGTTCTTCTCCTCTGATGGGGCTTTTATTTCTTTTTCTTTTTTCCAAGCTGGCGGCTGATTAACGAGATTAAAACCCTGGATGCTATTTTCTCACCCTCTGAGCGCACCTGTCGTGCAGCCATGTGCCTAGCACTGTGCTGGGCACTGGGGAGCAGCAAGGATTTAGGATGTGCGTCGGAGCAGGGAGGCAGGTGAGGGAAGTGCCAGTTGCAGTCCAGTGCGGCGAGCCCTAGGGTCAGGGGACGCCAGATACGAGAGCTCTGTGGAAGAGCTCATGGCCTTTCAGGTCCCTGAGCGCTGCTGTAGCTTGAAGAGCTCAGAGAGGGCTAAGAAAAATGATAAAATTAGGCTGGAGAAGTAGGTAGGAAGGTCATGGCCTCATAAACCAAGGCGGGACATTTTGACTTTATCCCGGGGCCATTGCAGTTCAGCTAAGAGTGCTTTAAAGCTGGGTTGGGGTCGGGGTCCAGGGGTAGGTGGGGGGGACGTGATCAGACACCTTACTGAGAGAAATCCCTCCGCCTGCGCTGTGGGGAGAGGTCCCGCCGAGGCACGTCTGGAGGTGGGCAGGGGCAGGGACCTGAACCGGGGTCGTGGCAGTGTGTGTCAGAAGACATGGTCCAGGCGGGAGGGAATAGGAGATGGAGTTGATCGCACTAGCCCGCTGTTTGGAAACGGGAAGAACTGAGAGTGGTTCACATTTGCGGCTTGAAGTAGGGAGCAGTCGTAGAAAGAGCAGCTTCCCGGGGAATCACACTGCAGAAGCGCTGAGGTTCCTGAGGGCTTACTGACTGTGTCAGGACCCTGCCCTCCGCGTGCTGACCTACTTATTAGTCCTTACAGGAACCCCACAGGGTGGGTGGCAGGAGTGTCTCCATTTAACACCTGAGGGAATTGAGGACAGAGCGGTTGAGTGACCTGGCAGCTTGGAAGTGGCAGAACCAAGATCCGAACTCAGGCAGGCTGGCTTCCGAGACACCACGCAGTGCAGACGATGCTCTACACACCTTCCCACAGCATTTGACGTGGAGATGCTGTAACTCACAGGGCCAGTGGGCCATGCTGTGCAGAAAGTATCTAGGGGAGTCCCTGGCATTCGGCAGATAGATACTCAGTAACTGCATGTGTTAGCTGGTTTTCCCCAGAGTATTTCATTACAGAAGATGTGGCTTGACTAAAAAGTCATCATTACAGTATTTTGGGGAGAGGGGAGGTGGAGCAAGGAGGTCTATTCCGAGAAAGCTCCTCTGGTGATTGCTTTTACCTCTGGTTTTGAGCAACTTGCTTAGAAACTAGATTTTGAACAACCAAACACTTATGACAAAATTCTGACTGTGGAAATCTTCCTTAAAGCTTCTTGATTAAGGGAAAGTAAAATTTGATCAGTAGGGGATTTTTAGGGGCACTCTTGCTAAATGCTGAGTTCTGGCTGGCATAGTATGTAATTGGATTTGCTACTGGACCCACTGGTTGTTTTTTCTGTTTGTTTTTTTAGCAAACAGCCATGTGCTGTACAGGAGTGCCACTCAAAATGCAGTCCAGAGAATGTTTGTTACTAGTCCGTAATGAGATCGGGATGGAAATGAAGAAAAAAGGTTTAGAAACTTAAAGGGTAATTTGACAGTATCTGATATAATAGAAAATTTGGGTTTTAATTTTACGTGCCTTTTAAAAGTTTCTTTCCTAATCATTTTTATCAAACTTCACAAATGTCAGTCCGTTGGATGGATTCGAAACAGTAATAATTTGAAAATTGGTCCTGGGCATTGCTTTCAAGTGTTTAGAACTAGCCCAGCTCCCGTGCCAGCTGTGGGTGGTTTGCAGAATGATTCATTGAATGAACTCTTCTGTACCATTTCGATAGAATAACCTGGGCAGTTGCACAACCTTTGGCTCTCAGAAGTAATTGCTTACAAAAGTTGATGAATTCCTCAGTGGAGGCTTTGCTTTTTGGAGCAAAATAGTTTCCAAAGAGTTTCCTTCTGGAATTGCTGGAGGAGGAGGAGGGACTCCTGTTGTTTTGACTGAAGGCCCCTTGGTTTCAGTACGAGAGAGGGGGTCTTAAGGCCTGGGGTGTCAGTGATGGCACGAGCGTTATTCAGTGTGAGGACGATATGGTGATAATTTATTCTGGACATCTGAGCAGTAATAGTTGAATAGGAAACTGATTACACATCATTTTGAGTAATAATTTCAACTTAAGTTTATTTGTAGAGGGAAAAAAATGGCTCAAGAAGAAGGAGCATCAGAGAGAACACCCTGTGAAATGTCTTAAAATGACTTGTAGTGCCAAACGTCAGAAGTTTTGTTTTATTAATAGTCAACATGATCACAGTCTTCAGTGAAGGGGGTCTTGTGAGGCTGGGAGGTGTTGGCCAGATGAGAAATGTGAGGTACATGCCTATCGCATTTGCCCTTTTGTGAGTGTTCTTTGTGCTGGGATCGAAAAGCTGCCTCTGCTCATTTTTTTTACATGTATTTTTATGAAAATTCTAAAGCAGCTCTGCACGTATAAAATATGTGTAAGAACTGACCCCATCAGTTTTTCCGTTTAGACTAACCAGCAGCAGCAGTTTGGCTTCCCCCATCTCTTTAACATCAGCATGTTTTCCAGTATAAGAAAAATAGATAAGAGCTCTTTTTTTTTTAATATCTTTATTGGCGTATAATTGCTTTACAGTGTTGTTAGTTTCTGCTGTGCAGCAAAGTGAATCAGCTATATGCATACATATATCCCCATATCCCCTCCCTCTTGAGCCTCCCTCCCTATCCCACCCCTCTAGGTGGTCACAAAGCACCGAGCTGATCTCCCTGTGCTATGCGGCTGCTTCCCACTATATCCATTTTACATTTGTTAGTGTATGTATGTCAGTGCCACTCTCTCACTTCGTCCCAGCTTACCCTTCCCCCCTCCCTGTGTCCTCAACTCCATTCTCTACATCTGGGTCTTTATTCCTGCCCTGCCACTAGGTTCATCAGGCACTTGATTCCATATATGTGCGTTAGCATACGGTTATTTATTTTTCTCTTTCTGACTTACGTCACTCTGTATGACAGACTCTAGTTCCATTCACCTCATTATACATAACTCAATTTCGTTCCTTTTTATGGCTGAGGAATATTCCATTGTATATATGTGCCACATCTTTATCCATTCATCTGTCTGTGGACATTTAGGTTGCTTCCATGTCCTGGCTATTGATAAGAGCTCTTTTTTTCCCCCTTAATTTGTTTCCATTTTTGATGGGTTTAGTTTTTTAACCACATGTCCTACAAGTTCTATTTCTAAATTAATTCCTGAGAAATAAAACATAAGCTTGCAAATTCACAAGCCTGGAATTTGCTTTAATGTATTCCCTACCTCATTATTTTTCTTCCTTTATGAAAGTTGGAGAGAGAGCATGTTTGATGGTGCTTTAAATTGCCCGTGATACCATCATCCGAACACAGCTATTTTCATTATCGCATCTTTCTGTTCTGTCCTCATCCACAGTCACACATTTTTTAAACAAGGGAGTTGTATTGCTTTTCAAAGAAGAATTGTACTAGTTTACAGTGTCATCAGCGTTGAATCTGAGTGCTAATGAAAACGTTGCAAAATTCAGTGTAACTTTTTCTTTAATAAGTATGAAAGATAACTATTTCAAGGATTTTCACATATCTTTATTAACAAGGATGAACCTTTTTTTTCTTATAATTACTGTTTTTTTGGATGCAAGTTGTTCACACATTTTTCTTCTGGGTTCATACTTTAAATGTTTTACTAGCCATCATTACTTGGGTCTGACTTTTTTGAGGCACTGCTGATATATAGGAAGAAAAAAGGCTTTGTTGCTGCTTTTAAGGCTAAAATAGACCACGGGTTTTTCTCAGTATTGTTCCTCCTTTACACAAAAGTATTTTCCCCTTTTATTCACAAGTATTTTTGATGTTGATTCCTGTTGCTTTGACCTATATAAGTCAAAGTGGCCTCGATTTCTTGTGCTCTTTCCTCTTTGTATTAAAAATCAGGAGACCAGGGCTTCCCTGGTGGCGCAGTGGTTGGGAGTCCGCCTGCCGATGCAGGGGACACAGGTTCGTGCCCCAGTCCGGGAGGATCCCACGTGCCGCGGAGCGGCTAGGCCTGTGAGCCATGGCCGCTGGGCCTGCGCATCCGGAGCCTGTGCTCCGCAACGGGAGAGGCCACAACAGTGAGAGGCCCACGTACCGCAAAAAAATAATAATAATAAATAAATAAAAATAAAAATCAGGAGACCAGTTGTTTCTCAGGAATCAGAGAATGCAGCTGACCAAAAAGCTTGTCCAGGTGTGCTGACAGTGATACAAGCACTTGATGAGTCTCGCTTCCACTGGGGTCTCTCCCAAATCAGCCATAGCCTCCTGTCTCAGTATGACACTTACTCAGTGGTTCTCAAAGGTCGGTCTGGGTTAGAGTAGGACAAATGGACTCTGCAGAATCTTACTTAGAGTTACCTTTCAACTTACTTGGTGTGACCGAAAAGATTTGGATTGAAATTTTTTTTTTTTTTTGCGGTACGCAGGCCTCTAACTGTTGTGGCCTCTCCCGTCGCGGAGCACAGGCTCCGGACGCGCAGGCTCAGCGGCTATGGCTCACGGACCCACCCGCTCCGCGGCATGTGGGATCTTCCCAGACCAGGGCACGAACCTGTGTCCCCGCATCGGCAGGCGGACTCTGAACCACTGTGCCACCAGGGAAGCCCCTGGATTGAAATCTTAATTGTATTCAGTAGCCAAATAAGTTTCTAAGTTTAATTGATTTTACACAAAGTCCTTTTATGTTTTCATGCCTGGGCAGTATAGATGATCAGTTTGGGTGGTGATTTTGTTTGGGGTTTTTTTGCCTATAAAAACAGAGGTTTATTCCTTGTGGTGCTCTAAGGTCATCATGGAACAGCTGCAGCTCAGCTCCAAATCCATCATCACTCCAGGACCTGGCTGGTGGGGCAGCCTCTCCTAGGGGCACAGCTGGCTGAATGGCAGAGGGACAGGAGGTATAGGAAAAGCACCTTGGTGCCCAAGGCTTCTGTTCAGGAGTGATGCTTCCCACTTCTACATGTATCCTTGGCCAGAGCAAGCCCCTGCCCCCCACGTCTGTGTCCAGTAGGGCGGGAATGTATAATGTGTGGTCCACACAGTGTCATCACAGGGAGGTGAAGGCACCATATGTTTTGGAAACTAACAAAAATCTCATAGTTCAGTCAGACTTAACATGAAGAGGGATCAGATTTGACAGAAAAGAAACAACATATCTAAGACTTACTAATTGATGGTACATCAGCAGTAATGGAAATAGAGGAATTAAGGGTCAATGAAGGGTCAATTCCAGATGCGTGGCGCGTGGCCTGGTCAATCAAGTAGTGGCGCTGCCATTCACCGGGAGCCATCTGCCTAAAAGGGAGTAATTGCCTGAATGAGACCATGACGAGAGCATCTAAAGGGGAGAGAGCTGAGGAAGGACCCTTAGGGCCATGCTGCCTGGCCTTGTTCATGTCATGCACGTGTGGACGGTGGCATTGTTTGGGCAGCACACTGGAATAAGCAGATCAGGCACCTGGTTCTGCAGCCCACCCGCCCTGGGGCTCTGACCACCCTAAGGGCTGGGGAAAATCAGTGTTTCACGGACGTGCCACCTGGAACGGTGGTTAAGAATCCGCCTGCAGGGGACACGGGTCCCCCTGGTCCGGGGGGAAGATCCCACATGCGGCGGAGCAGCTAAGCCCGTGCGCCGCAGCTACTGAGCCTGCGTTCTAGAGCCCGCGAGCCACAACTACTGAGCCCGCGTGCCTAGAGCCCGTGCACCGCAATGAGGGAAGCCACCGCAATGAGAAGCCCGTGCACCGCAACGAAGAGTAGCGCCTGCTCGCCGCAATGAGAGAAAGCCCGCGTGCAGCGACCAAGACCCGATGCAGCCAAAAATAAATTTATTTAAAAAAAAAAAATCGGTGTTTCAGCAGCACACCTCTAAGCCATGGCTGAGGAGTAGCCACAAAAGAAGGAAACAGGAAAGAGTGCTTTCACGGAAGCAAAAAGAAGAAAGAATTGTTAGAAGATCATTGAGATCGACAACAACAAATGCTACAGAGAGGCTGAGAAATGAAAGCGGCAAGGTGCCCTCTGGATTTGGCAATTTAGAGAGTTACTGTTCCAGATAGACTGTAGGAGAGCTGCAGGTTTCCTGTTTGGGGAAACTACAAAGTAGTTAAGCAACCAATGGTTAGTTTACCACGCAGTGGGCTTCTAGGCTTTGAATTTTGCGTTAAATTCTCAGTGCGTTGCCTACACTGGTGTTCCTCAAGAAGTTCTAATCTGTGGTCTTTAGGCAACCTGCGTTAGAATCACTTGGGACTCTTGCTAAAAATGAGATTCCTGGGGCCCACCCTAGATCTGCCAAATTAGAATCTGTAATTTCCGTGTATTTTAATCAGCGGGAACAGGCTTTAAGGTTTGAGAGCCCTTGTTTTTTTGGTATAGGCAATCCTGAGTAGTAGCAAATCAAAGCCAACTAAAGTTCTTAGGCTCTAAGTCCACAGGGACCAATGTTTCAAGGATGTGAAACCAGGAGAACTTGTCAGTCACTGCAAGTGAGAGCATCAGTTCGTCAGGCACTTTGGAAATCTAGCCAATCCTGCCCTCGCACCCAGCAATTGTACCTGTAGCTCCAGGTGCAGGGAGATGTACCAGAATGTCATAGCACGTTGCAGATAGCATATTGGTTATAGCTTGAGTGGCCAGCAAAAGGAGCCTGGGTATGTAATTTGTAATATACTCACTATTTGAGTGATTGAATACTATAGTACAGGGGTCCCCAACCCCTGGGTGTGGCCCGTTAGGAACTGGGCCACACAGCAGGAGGTGAGCGGCAGGTGAGCGAGGGACGCTTCATCTCCCAGTCCCCGTCGCTTGCATTACTCCCTGAACCGTCACCCCCTTCCTGCCCGCCCCCCTCCAGCCACGGAAAAATTGTCTTCCACGAAACCGGTCCCTGGTGCCGAAAAGGTTGGAGAGCACTACTATAGTATATATACTATACTCTAATATGGTATCGTATACTATAGTAATTGAATACTATTCAGTGAGAAATGGAAGAATTAGAGCCATCTGTGTCCGTATGCGTGAATAATAGAAATAAAGTATTGAGCCAAGAAAGCAGGTAGCAGAAGAGGATGTATATACCATCTTGCCATTTGCATATTAAGTTTTTAAAAACCTACAAAAGAAAAGCACCAGTCAGGGGGCGGGGAGGGTGAAAGTTATCAGGAAGGGGATACACATGGGGCTCGAACCATGTGTTACGAAGCTCCCTGAGTTGGGTGAGCACGAGGGTGTTCGTGATAGTACACTTCACTTCTTTCTATGTGTCCAGAATATTTCATGGTACATTTCTTTTAGAGAACTGATAAACAACCAGGGTATTATTTCAATCACCCTCATGCAAGTAAGTGCTTTATTATATAAGCTACATTTTTTTCTCTTTCACCTTGGTGTTGAAATGCTTACCTTGGTCATATTACATCTCTGTTGTAAGTAGTTACTCAAGTCATTCTTAGTCCCGTGGTGTTATCTGAGCTGCGCCCAGTTAACTTCTGCGCCCGTGTCCGAGTCTCATGCTGTCTCCTTCCCTGCAGGTATTCACGACACTGTCGGTGACCAAGCGCTCGGGGGAGAACATCCTCCAGACCGGTTGCTGAGGTTAAGCCCCAGTGTGGGTGCTGCTGCCAGGACTCCAAACCACTGACGTATTTCTTGCCCAAGTCCAAGGCGAAGTTTGCGGAAGGTTCTGGGGCTTCAGCAGCCACGTGTCCTGTGCTTAGAGCCCCGAGGCCCCCTTGGATCTCATGGGCCGGAGGTGACGCGTGGGTGGCAGGCAGCATCGCACTGGGGTCAGCATGACGCACTCGAAACTGGCTTTCGGCAGCGCTTCGCAGAGGGGCGTCCATGAAGTCACCAGCCTCAAGCCCGCGCGGTGGGTGGTGATGGAACCGTCGAAGCAGTTTTTGCATGGCCTTTCCTTTGTAGGTTTTCTTATTCTCACTGTCAACCTTTCTCAGGTTGGTTATTTTTTTTTTCTCCGCCGTGTTAGTGAAAGTAGAGATGATAGCAGACAGTTTTTATCCAAAAGCAAGTCGTGGCCCCCGTGTGCAAATAAGGTGGCTCGTTGCTGGGACGGCGCACTGTGGCTCCTAGGCTTGTCCCGGGGAGAGAGCATCTCCCCAAAACAAGTGGTCACCACTGGCCAGGTGTGCTCCCAGGCACTATACCACTGATGATGAAATGGCTACCTGGCCAGCCTGTTAGGAGGAATATTCCAATGCAGGGAACTTGGTCGTACAGTGTGATCTCCACTGTTCTTCATCACGGAGGCAGATGCACAGCCGAAATGGGGAAAAACAATAAATGTCGTTGTTTAGTCCATTGTGTGCTGGTCTAAGTGAGCTGAGATCTTTTGCAATGGGAAACATTTAACGCTTGTTTAAAGACTTTTTGGGGGGTGGCTTTTGCTTTAAGCTAAAATCACAAAATACTACAGCTTTATTTTTCATGTGTGTTATGCATCTATCCCTTCCTAAGAACTATATTCATAGGAGAAATGTCTTTCCACACTTAACAATTTAACTCTTGTGGTAATTACTTTTTTAAAGAAAGCTGTTAATATCATAATTTATTATTTTTGAACACAGGTGGATGTGAAGGACTTTCGTGTAAAAACCAAATGGTTTTGGCTTTTTCTGTTGACTGTACTTGGTGGAATTTGGGCAGAAGTGTTTCTGCTCCATTAGCATTCCAACTCGTATTATCACAAAGAGGTATTAACCCTACAGTTACAGATTTCTGCCTAAATGTACTGGCGACGGATCATATTTAGGCCGTTTTCCCACTACAGAAGTTGGATTTTAAACATGTTGTGGACGTCAGACCTCCCACCAGCAGTTCTTGTAGCTCCTTTTTCATTCCCTCCCCTCTGTGTGTGTGTCTCGCTACAGCACTGAGTGGTTGATTGAAAGTACGTTTCTCCGTCACCTCAGGGAACTCAGTGCCTGCCCAGCATTTAGTCAGCAGATCCCCTGACCCTGTCTGCCTCACAGCCCTGCCTCACCCTCCGTCCCATCTGGCTGTGTGGAGACAATGGGAAAAGGAAAAGAGGGGAGGGGAATCGCGACAGCTGACTGTGTTCAGTTTTCTTTATTTATTTTTAAATTTGTTTTTTTCTCCAAGTCTGCCAATCTCTGAAATTAGAAGATAGGCAGTACGGGGTGATCATGCCTAATCATGTTGTGATTCTGTCTTCTTTGTGGAATAGAATGTTCTGCCCGCACGAGAAGGATTCTGCTTTATAGACCTGTCTGCGTAATTGCCCAGTGTATCAGAACTCGTATTAAATTCCGTGTATTTTTGTTACAAATCTTCTGAAAAGAAACCATGTGAAACCTTAAAAGCTGTTAATATCCACCCTGTGTGGCTCTTGTTGAATGGTGGTCTTGGGACTGTTCAGCTGACAGGCAAATGGACTTCCGGGCTCCTGTTGGCGATCTTGAGAACTAGGTGCTGAGTAAGTTTCATCGATGCTGTGCTGCGGGGCCTGGTGGGTGTGCTGAGGTTCACATTTTAGCCGTGTTGGCATTCCGGATTCCATTTTTCAGCTTATCCCCACTTGATCTGTCCATCTTAGTTTTTAAGGTGGCAAAACCGCCCCACCTGCCCCACCTGATAACAGCACTGTGAGGGTACGTGAGCCTTCCTTTCTCTCTGAACTGTATCAGGTACATACCCGGGGTTCAGTAAGTGTTTACATTGATGTTTATTGTCAGGCTCAGATTATTCACTCATATGCACTTAATTTTCTGATGCATCAGTTGATGAGCAGAAACTCCTATCTTGTGGTAATCCTTAACAAAAACCTTCCCAAAGTTCCTCTCTGTCCTGAGTAACCGCAGAGTGCTAACAGTACCACTAAGTGCTTGTTACTGCAGCATGTACCAGGCACATAACAGCCCTCTCAGGAAGCTCCTGTGCCCGCTTACAGATGGAAGAGCGGGCTCAGAGGTAGGAATCCTGGCTCAGGGTTACACAGCTAGGTAGTGGTATAGCACACTTTTGAAGCCAGGGAAGTCTGTGACTTCAAAGGCCCAGACCTCTCGACCACCTTGCAGTCTGCCTCATTCACCTCTGACGGGTGGGAGCTTTCATGAAGGGCGACTGAGCTGAAGCCTGGGATCCCGTCGTGTTTTCACGTGCCCTCGAGCAGTGTGGTCCGCACAATCAACAAACACCTTGTCTGAGATGTTTTAGTGCTTTTTCTAACTGGTCGTAACACTGCCGGTGTATTTCCACACTATTGCCAGGATCTTATTCCTCAGACTTCCCTTGCACCGAGTCCTCAGGGTCTTCCAAAGCCCTGTAAATAGGCTCTGGGCCCTGTGTCAGACCCTGGGCCAGTCACCTGCACCTCTGACCTCTGCCCCAAAGACACCGCTCCTAACCCCCCTGCGCTGGGTTGCCTCCAGCCAGAGCTCTTTCTGCGTGTACTCCACAGGACTCTGTACTTTCTCTAGAGCACTTCAGGTCACCCTGCACGAGCCCACTTCTAGATAATTAGGGTTCTTTGCGTCTGTGTGCTGCGTAGCTTCCAGCACGAAGCCCACACGTGCACTACGGAGGCACGTAAAGCTTCGTGTAATTGGGTGGGCAGGTAGAGCCTTACCACTTGGATCTGTACCTGTCAGAGGTGACCACTTCAGGACGCTGTTAATCTCTCGTGTCAGGAACCTTTGACCCAAATGTTAATGAAAGTAGAAAGGGCATAAACATAAAAATGGCCAACGTCACTTGTTGAGGAAATACAATTAAACTGCTGTGAAATACCACTTCTGACCCATTCTGTGGCACAGTTTAGAGAGTCTGACAGTATCAAACGTTGGCAAAGCTGTGGTGCAAATGGGACACATTTATTGCTGTGAGGAGTGTAAATTGGTAGTCACTTTGGAAAATGATTTGACGTGACCCAGTAAAGTCAAGATCCTGTGCATACTCTAGGTATGTACCCAGCACAGATGCACATCTATGCACCAAAAGACACGACACTGTTAGCAATAGCAAAAAAACGAAACATGGAAACAACCCAAATATTCATCAGAACAAGAATGGACAGGTCAACTGCGGTGTATCCATACAACAGAAGACGAAGTAACAGCAAGATACATGTTACAAACAGTGGATCAATGAGTGAAAAAGTCAAAGGCATGTGTACAGTCTGATTCCACTATATACATAAACAGGCAAAACTAAGCAATATGTATGTGTGTTTAGATGGACAGTTGGAGTAGAACCACAAGGGAAACAAATTCAAAATGAAGAATCTGGAGTTTAAGCTGGTGGTTACCTATGAAGGGACAGGGCAGAGGCTGGAGTCAGGAAGGGGCACCCAGGACCTAAAGGCTTCTTTCCTAACCCAAGTGGAGGACTTGTGCATTTGTTGCATCATTATTTATGTTTGTTACAAATGTTCCTTTGTATCTACTCAGTAGTTTATTCAAATAGCTTTAAAAGGTGGGGAGGGGGTAGCTGGGAGTATTAGAATGCCCGGAGCAGGAATGTGTCCATCAAGGTCTCACACAGGAGCTAGGAGACCAGACTCTAAAGACAGAGAATACAGCAGAAGGCCTTTCCTGACCATCCATGAGTCCATCCTTGATATGAGGTCTGGGAATGGGCTAAACGTGCACTAAGTTTGGGAGTAATTGTGACACAGCAATCGATAATGAATACATGGGAGTTGGAGGGGTCGCACAACAAGCAGGCCCGGTCCTCTTTCCTTAAACCCACTTAAAATCAGAGCACTCAACTTTTAACATTTCAAAAGATTTTATTTAGAAAAAGAAAAGAGCTTAAAATTTTTTTTTTTTAATTTGAAATTCACTCTAAGGAACCGAGGTTTTTCCTGCAGACCCTGTTCTGCTGATGCCCTGTATCACTGATGCCCTGTATCACTGATGCCGTACGTTGCCCTCTGGGCACTCCTAAGAGTCTCCGGAGGAGCTGAGCAGAGCAGGGTTTTCTGGACCCCTTGGCCGTCTCTGAGCCTGATCCCATCACTGCACAACCTTACTGCAGCTGTTCGTTTCTCAGGCGCTATTTCATAGGCTTTGAGATTGGCAAGGGAGGTCAGCTTCTCCAAGTCCATCTACAGATGCAGAAACTGAGGGCTGGACAGGTGAAGCTGACTGATCAACATCAAGGTCAAGGTTAAACAGCTAAACACAGATCTGAGACCAGAAGCCATCTGGCTTCCAACTATGTGCTTTTCTACAACATGATGCTACTTTGTTCCTGCCACCATCTCCTTTGTAAATTCTCCTACGTGTAAGCACACTGATTGCTGTGAAGCTGAAGGGCATGGGAGCATGTGTTGACTCTGAAAAAGCCAATAGGTAGGTCCTTGGCCGTGTGGTCAGCACACAGTAGGTGTGCAGGAAATGCATGCAGACTGACCTGAAGGGAGGCATCAGAGCCCTCCATGTTGGCTTTCCTGCGTGCGTGATGGGGACGCCTTCTTGTCTGTCGGGAAAATGAGGTAGAGCCTGCCTCGTAATTGCAAAAGCAGCACCTTGGAAGAGCAATTGCTAAAGGAGTGAAGAGACAAGAAACAAACTTCATGGCATGTGCTGTACATCAAGGCACAGTGGATACAGAGTGAATGAACACTGATGGTTAATTTATGTGTCCGCTTGACTGCGTCACAGGGATGCCCAGACAGATGGTTAAACAGTATTTCTGAGTGTGTCTCGAGGATGTTTCTGAATGAAATTGCATTCATCAGTGGACTCAGTAAAATGGTTTGCCCTCCCCAGTGTGGGTGGGCATCACCCAATCCACTGAGGGCCTTAATAAAAGGAAGGAAGAATTTGGCTCTTTCTATCTGATTGCTTGAGCTGGAACATTGACCCTCCGCGGTCCTGGTTCTCAGACCTTTGGACTCAGACAGAACTACTCCACCGCTTTCCTGATTTTCCATCTTGCAGATGGCAGATGGTGGGACTTCCAGCCTCCATATTTGCATGCGCCAATTCTTTATAATAAATGAATCTATCTGTCTGTCATTTGTCTATCTTCTACTGGTCCACTTTCTCTAGAGAACTTTGACCGAAACACACACAGACCTCACTCTGAAGGTGTGTGCAGTCAGGTAGGGTGGGTGAATGTACACAGTTACTCCCTCATTTTTTCAGCAAATACTATGTACCAGGTACTGTTCTAGGCAGGAGAGTTCAGCAGTGAACAAAAACATCAATAATCCGTGTCCTCAAGGGGTTTACATTATAGTTGAGGGAAATAGGCAAAAATAACATAAGTCATTATATTGAATAAGTGGTGATAAGTGCCACGGAGAAAAATCTAAGCAGGGAAGGGGAGGTGTGTGGGGAGTGGAATTTTAATTAAGGTGGTCAGGGAAGACCCCATAGAGAAGGTGGCATTTGACTGAACACTTGGAGGAGGTGAAGGAGATCCTGGGGGAAGGAACATTCCAGGCAGGGAGGTCAGCAAGTGTAAAGGCCCTGAGGCAGAGAATGACTGGGATGTTGGGGGAATGAGTCTAAGTCCATCATGGTGGGTGGAGTCCAGCAAGCAAGGAGGGGAAGAATAAAAGTCAAGGTCAGAGAGAGAACAGATCAGGTAGGGTCTTGTTTGTTGTAGTAAGAAGCAGCAGCATTGGGAGCCACTGGAGGGCTCTGAACAGAGGAGGAGTGTGACCCCACTTCCTGATCACACTTCCAGGTGGTCAGGAGCACACGGGTGGCTGGTCTGAGGGCAGCCTGAGGCTTTGGGTGGGTGGAGGCTGCTGCAGTGATAGGGGTGAGAAGATGATGTCTTAGTCCAAGGTGGTAGCAGTAGGTATGGTAAGTAAATCCCAGTCTGACATAATTTTAGAGGAGAACCAATAGGACTTAGTGTTGGATTGGATGTGGGATGAGAGAGAGAGAGAGGTTCAAGGATGACTCCTACATTTTGGGCTTCAACACTGGAAGCATTGAGGCTGGAGGTGCCATTTCACTGAGATGGGAAAACTGCGGAGGAGGGGCAGGTTTGAGAGGAATATCAGAAGCTCGAGTTTTAGGTGCCGAGGTTGAGATGCCTTGTAGACATCCGAGTAGAGGTTTTGGACGGTTAACTGGACACATGAGGCTGGAGTTCCAGAAAGAAGTTCAAGATAGAGAGTTAAATGTCAGGGCGTCAGCCCAGAGAGGCTGTTTAAAGTCCTGAGAAAGATGAGGCCCTGAGGGCATGAGTGCAGATAAAAAGGAGAAAAGCTCTGCTAGAAACCAGCAGCTGCCCCAAAGGAAGGTACCCCATGCCAGGAGAACAGCGCAGGACTAGGGTGAAACTGTGCAACTCAGATTGGGACATGAACCCACATGCTGGGACTCGAACCCAGCCAGAACCCAGATTGGGAC